TAGAATGTGAATCAAGTTCAGCTTTTCTTGAAAAATTATATTCATCGCTGTAACAAATTGTTAATTATTACAGCAAATTACGAAAAAGGGGTAAAGTTTTCAATAACTTGCTGGATAGCTCAACACAATAGTAGGGCTGCTATTGCTATCTGTTTCGTCCATCGTTGTCTGTTTTCAACTTCTTTTCTGAAACCGTTAAGGCATTGCGCACTGTGTTGGTGTCAATTTCAGTAACATCAAATCAATTTCAACCAATTTTGGCATATAATATCTATAGGTGGAAGGTAACAAAAATTGTGAATTTCTTGGTTCCTGTCCCCTGAAGGGTGGGGCAAAAACCACTAGAATTAATGCAAACTATGGTGAAAATGTATTATTTCTTTTTTTCTTCACCTCTTATGCTGGGTATTAAACCAATGAACTATGCACATAGTTATGATGAAGAAGGGTCCCTATTCCAAAATAGTGAATTACAAGGTCTCTGGGTCAGGGGACCTGTTGTTAAGGTGGGGCTCCCCTGTTTAAGGGGTTCTGGTGATGGGGCAGGGCTCTTACAGGTATATGCCAGTGAAAATCCATTAATTCTTTAAGAATCCTCTCCTCTGCTCCTTTGTATCAAACCAATGAACAATGTACATAGTTATGATCAGGAAGGATGCCTCTTCTAAAATGGCCCCAGAATCAGGGATTCTGGTGTTAGGGCGGGTTCTGTTTATATGAACATGCATGAATTTTTTGAAAATCTTCTCTGCTTCTGGGTATTGTGCAAGGGCTCTTAGAACATAGTTAGGGTTAGGAAGGTGCCCTTCAAAAATGATGAATTTCATGGCCCCTGGATCAGGTGTATAAAGAACCACATTCAATATTGTTGCACGATACTCAGGTGACTCATAAGGCTTGTAGGCCTCTTGTTACTTAAAACATTCTTGTTAAAACATCTTAAAGACTTCAACAATTCAGTACAGCCCAACAATATACTAGTATTCACAGACCTGTTTTTATTATTATCAGTCTTCTACAAGTACTATAAATGTTTGAAAAAAAACTTCAAAACTATACTGCATCCAACTCCCAACAGAGGTAAATATCAACTTTCAAGTAAATTGACAATAAAACAATCTTTTTGATTTTATGTGTTCTTTAATAAATAGTCATGCTACCAATATATAACAAAAATAATATTAAAAATATTGCACATTTGGAGTGTTGCTCAATACAATTCATTTCCCACTTACACAACTTTCATCAAATCCACAGACACTTGTATGAGTATTATCTTCAGAGCGATATCACATTTAGTGTACATATAAATTGCATGAGTAGTAAAAAAAAATTATCAATTTGCATCATTTGAGATTGCCTTCTACCCAACCTCACAATGAAAATGATAAAGTTAGAATGCCTGCCGAGATTGAGATATAAGATCAAATGTGAGATGATTCTATGAAAAGTTATTAACCAGTGAACATATGTAATATATCTATCCTACAAATATTGAACATGGGTGAGAATTCTTGTACACAATATTATCTTCAAGCTATTTCAAAGACCAAGGCACTTAAACATTCACACATTCAAATCATGTTACTCTCTCAATTCAGTTTTAGGATTTCTTATTGTGAAAAAAGGAGAGTTTCTTTAAGTACTGTAAATCACTTTTTATTCGCGAGAACTTTCTTTTCGCATAATTACGCAAGACAGTTTGCTATCAAAAATTTCATTCTAGCGAATAATAGAATTCCTTAAGATTATATAGAGCAATGACCACAATTTGTGAAAATTTTGGTTTTTTTTGCTGATAAAGATTCAATGACTATCTCGCGAAAATAAGGTGTCGCGAAAATTAAGTGATCTACAGTATGTGTTATAGATTAAATAAATCAGGAAAGAAGATTGCAATAGGCAGGGCTGTTTCGGAAATATCAAGTCATTAAATTGTTACCTTTCCAAATTTTAACCAAAGTATGCTTAAAAAAAAATGAGGAAATTTTTCTTATGAAAGTTGGTGTTCACTTCAGTTTTTGATATGCTATAAAAAGATCTGAGAGAATTCATGTTTCTACATTCTTTGTAAGCTATGCACATTATTGTTTGAAAGAAAATTCCACTAAAAATTGGTGTCTTCTGCAACTTCATAACAAAATTAAGGAAAATGCATAAGTTCTTGATGTCACAATTAGCATTTAAGAGGTCATATAAGAAAAACAATTTGCCCAATATTACTACACTAACTTTGAAAATTTCATAAAGTACGAGTTCTAAATTCTGAAATCATATTTCAAAACAATGCAGGGCCTGATATGTACTGAAACTGTACATTCTTCTTTATAAAAATTTTCTATATTTCATATATTGCATTTGGCTTAAAATATGAAAAAACTGAATGTCCACTATAAATAACAAAAATGTATTAATAAAACATTAAACTTTTTAAAGACATATATTTCTAGAAAACTAGCCCCCCCTACCCCCCAATGAGATTAAACTTCAGTTCCTTTGAATTTTTTCCATATAAATTTGATGAATTATGGCTCTGTCATTCTTGGAGGATTTTTAGAATTTTCCACTATGTAAAACTTTGGCTGCCATTTTGGCCCCCTCCCCCTGTGTCACAGTAACAAACTGTCTTTCTACTGAGCTCCTTCCATATAAATTTGATGAATTAATTCTGGAAGAAGATTTTTAAAGAATTTCCTATATATTTCTATGTAAAACTTTGGCATATAGGATTTTGGCCCCGCCCACTATCATGATGCAAACTTGCTTCTTCACTACTAGGATGCTTCCATATAAATTTGATGAATTATGGCTCTGTCATTCTTGAGAAGAACATTTTTAAAAATTTTCACTATATATTTCTATAATAACACACAATAACACACATAACACTGGGATGATTTGAACAAACTTCAATCTACACTACCTGGCTGTTACCCCAATGGCACAGTGGTTGTTGAGAAGAAGATTTTTAAAGAATTTTCCAATATATTTCTATGTAAAACTGTTTAATGGCCCCGTCACCCCCGTATGATTTCAAACTTGAATTACCTGAGGATTTACCCCATAAGTTTCATCTTTCCTGGCACAGTGGATCTTGAGAAATTTTTAACATGCCATTTTTCCTTAATTCCCATTTTTCTGGCTATGGATTTGAATACCCAAGGATGCTTTGTGGCAATTTGAAATTGTGTCCCAGTGGTTCTTTGTTGTAAAAGTTTAGACCTGACAGACAGACAGTTTGACATGATGAAATCTGCTGTCACTCTCAAAATGTGAGGCTTGAGCGTTTCAGACATGAGGAAATTTTTCGTATGAAAGTTGCGTGTTCACTTCAGTTTTTGGATATGCTATAAAAAGATCTGAGAGAATTCATGTTTCTACATTCTTTGTGAGCTACGCACATTATTGTTTGAAAGAAAATTCCACTAAAAATTGGTGTCTTCTGCAACTTCATAACAAAATTAAGGAAAATGCGTAAGTTCTTGATGTCACAATTAGCATTTAAGAGGTCATATAAGAAAAACAATTTGCCCAATATTACTACACTAACTTTGAAAATTTCATAAAGTACTAGTTCTAAATTCTGAAATCAAATTTCAAAACAATGCAGGGCCTGATATGTACTGAAACTGTACATTCTTCTTTATAAAAGCTTTTTCATATATTGCATTTGGCTTAAAATAAGAAAAAACTGAATGTCCACTATAAATAACAAACATGTATTAATAAAACATTAAACTCTTTAAAGACAAAAGAATACCCCCCCCCCCCCCCCCCAATGAGATTAAACTTCAGTTCCTTTGAATTTTTTCCTGCTGGTCTGAGTATTATCACTGGAGGTGGTGAGATCCACACTGGCTGTTCTGTCACCCTCCCCCTGTGTCACAGTACTGTCTTTCAGCTCCTTAACATTGACATTAATTCTGGAGAATGATAGGGAGTTTCTCTGTATCTGTCTTTGGCATATAGGATTTTGAGCCGCACTATCAAGTGCACACTGCTTTTCTTGACTAGATTGATACTGTTTTCTCCTTTTTTTCCTACGATACACAATAAATATCACAATAATAATGACACACAATAACACACATAACACTGGGATAACGATGGGCACGGCTGTAAATGAACTGGTTGTTGGAGTGTTCTCTGATTGGTCTGGAGAACTGTTTAATGAGACGTCACGTATTGGGTCAGTTTGAGCATTCATAAGAGGTAGATGACAAATATTTGTGCCATTTTTCCTTCCATTTTCCTCTATGGATTTTAATAGATCTTGTAATGAACTAGTGTCCCTTCTTTGAAATGCACAAATATTGTCACTCACTTTTAGTTTACCTGTAAAATTTTCCTGAGCTAATAAATAAATCAATAAAGGGTTAAAATCATTTAAAAGTAGTGACTCTACTGGAAACTTTTTTATATTATTACAAACAATAAAAGTGATGACCTCATTATTCTTAGAGCTGTATCAATAATATTAAATATTGAGATGAGCATGGTAGACTGTCATGTAGGCTGATTTTACCACACCCATCCTATTCATATGTCTGCATTCTTGTCTCTGGTTCATAATAATGAAGATATTCCCCATTCATGAAAGAACTGTTTGCTATACCTACATGTGCAAAAAAAATGTTCTATACCTTATACAAAATCTCACTATAAAACTGAGCTATTATATAAATATTGCATGTAGTGGAGCTTTACACTGTTACTGGCAAACTTGGCATTAAACGGAACCCCTTCAAACTTCTTCTGGGTCACATCTGTATTTCCTCTATCCTACATTGAAAAAAAAACAACTTGTGATTGTTACAAAATGTTTTAGTGAGTTATTAACTTAATATGTAATCTAGGACCCTCCACTTACCAGGATAAGAAACCTATACTGCAGGCCGGGATGTTAACACATGTTTTCAAATATTTATTATATTTGGATACAAAATGTTTTAAAATTCACAAATACATACACACGTAGTTTGACAGCTAGTAAAAATATGTCAACTGTGTGGTTTCGCATAATTGATTTTACCTGCACAGAGATAGACTTTCTGAATAGATAGTTTGTATGCTGACTATTTTTTGGAATATCACCCGACGTTGCTACGCAGGAGGGCGTGTCTTCATTATTTAGCGAGTAATAGTGTTTTTTAACAAATGTTTCTCGACGAATCAGATTCAAGTTATTTACATGAAAGTACCAGGTATAATGTTGCACTCTGTCAACCAAAAAATGATGTTCTAACATACCATGGTCAAACACCCCATCATATTTCATCTCCTCCTTCAGCTGTTCATCATGGATGTCCATTAAGAAGACCTTTTTATTGCTTGTTAGTTGGAAGGATGTGTCCAGTGAGTATACAAGGGGGACTGGATGGTTTGATTGCTGGAAGGCTATGGGCACCTCAAATCTGAAATTCGCACAAACATTTTTTTTAGATTTACTTTTCATAAGATTGTATGAAAAACATGCATATAGAACTATTTACAGACAAACCACAGCTACAGACACAAACTCTACCTTTGAGGAGGTTGGGCAGTGCAGGGTATAGGGGACTGGTTAGAGATGTATTTCTGGGTTGGATGGACAGTGCAGGGAACAAGTTCCAATACATAAGTACCAGTGTAATCCTGTAATATAGGTACATTGTGCATGTAAGGATTTGTTGGACATTTACAAGGGCATTTTTATAGAATAAGAACAAATGAATGACACCATTAACTTTTATTTACATATACTTGTATATCTTCATGCTTGTTAAGTCACAGTGGCAATCAATTCTTTGATAAAACAAACCTTGACGCTGAAGTCACTGGAGGTCCTCCACAGCTGCTGTGGGCTGTCAAAGGTCTGCTGCCCCCACACTAGTGTCAGGTCCATGTGGAGGGACACACCCTCAGGGGAAATAACTCTACTCTCCACATTAGGCAAGGTGTGGTGTTTTATTACATACAAACCTAAAGAAAGAAATATTCTTGCTTTATAAATCAAGATTAAAAACATGCCCCTCACAATAACCATCAATGTAAGACAGGATTCCATTTCATCAACTTTTCCTGGTTTTTAGTTTTGAAAATCTGTGGATAAAGCTAAAAACAGTCTCTGTAACTTAAAAATTACGGAACTAAATGCACATAAAGCTATAATTTACCTCTGAACCTAGCATGGGTTTTGAAGTCTACTATAAGTTTTCCATCCCTGCCGACAAGAATTTTGAGAACCTGCAGATCTCCTGATATAGTGCCCTTGGTTTCCAGTCCAGTGTGCCACAGAATGGTGTCATAGTAAAAAGAGAATTCCATCTGGGTGTGATGCTGGAGGGACCCCCACCCTATAGGGGCCGTGGCATACACATAATAAACATAAAGGGGCACCGTCACCGTCAAGTAAGTCTTACCAGCATCCTTCACCTGGAAATAAAACAACGTTCTTCCTTTAGAATATTAATCTATATACATGTAAATTTATACATCCATTGTAATATATTTACATTCTGAAGCTTGTCAATTCACTGCTTGCAATGGAAATTAAATCCATAAAAAATGTACAAGTAACTTACAAATAAAGTGCCGCGCCACAGCATGATACGCCCGTCAAAATATTACAATTTTCTTGAACAGTTTAGGTGCAAGAAAATCACATCAACCTTGATTCTAAGATTTCGATGATTTTTCCATTCCTTAAAATATTTATCCATCCCCTGTGATGTAGGCATCAATTATTATAATAAATATTACATCACTGATAGATTTCTGTGCTGGTTGTGTTAGACCTTGTCAAATGCCCATCATCAAATTAGTCTTAACACCCTAATCTATACCAAATTAATTTTGAAAAGAAAAGGCTGGCCATCAAACAACATATGTTATAAACTGACCAGCAGTTCTTCTGTCTAATCCCCAAAGGGTACAGATAAGACTTCTTAATCAGAGCGACTGAGACAGCTAGCCTTCTTACATTGAACTCATTAATTAATCTTTAACTGGATGCTTGTCTACTCATTACTACCAAGAGATGAATGGGTCTGCACTATCTACTATAATTTTTTTTTTAAAAACATATAAAATACTCAAAGATTTTTTTTTTTTTTGGTTGAGATTTAATGTCCGACAGGTTTTTAATATGTAATTCATATGGACATGCTGATTCCACCCCATAAAATAAAATTATTTTTTAAATTAATAATATTACATAATATCAGATAAGTCTATTATGCAATATCAAATTAGTTTTTATTACTTTTCATCAAATTCATTTTAAATGATGGGCATTTAAAGGTCAGAGCGACCTACTTTTTGTGCGCGACACACCTTCTACCCAAGATGCATCAGATGACAAAGTTTGAAAATCCTAGGCCCAGTAGTATTAAAGTTATGAGCCGGAAACGAAAAAGCTAACAGACAGATGGACGGACACGAAGCTTATAACATAATACGTCCCGTCTTAAGACGGGCGTATAAAAAGTTAAAAAGGGGAAAATATACTGAAAGGAAAAAGAAACGCATAATAAACTTTTGAATAAAATTAAAACTTTTATTTCCAGTATATTTTCCAGTATTGTTATCAAACAATTTTATCCAACTTTAAACAACAAGTAACCGAAATCTTGTGTGACTTTGACTTATAATTCCTGAGTTATTGAAAATGATATGTCGATACCCCCCAAAATTAAAATAAAAATTCTCATCATCTCCCTTGCGCATCAGTAACAGCCTTGATTTCTTGTGCATTGAGTTCACCAGAGCATTTATCTTTCTCATAGGATTATCATTCAAGCCTTCCGACGATAGTCTTAATGGTTGAGAGTAGCTGTGTTATTCCAAAGCCAACAAATCCCCCCGTCCAATGAATCCCACGAATTTTCGATTTAGGATAGAATTTACAGAATCTAGCTGATTTGGTACACGTGAATGTTTGTATGGAAGTCTCGACAAACACTGGCTACATTTTCTCAGCGTGAACATGCTAAAAACGTAACGCATACCACGCGTACGTGCGCGTGTGAGAGGTGTGAGAGTAAAATCGACGGAAAGTTGCCAAGCTTGCGTACCAAATTAGAGCAGAGAGTTTCTGTCAGTATTAGGGTGGAAATATGAGTATGATTGTCTGCTGTAAAAATATCGGTTTCAGTGACAATGACTTGAAAGTAACTGAGGTAGCATGATGATGTGACGTTGTTACGCACCAACGTCACCATCATGGTTGGTTGGAAACCTTTTAAGTTACTCTCTGATAACCAAAAAAACTTCTTTGGTTGAAAATTTAAAAACAAACTGCACAGCAACATGTTGTTGCCTTTTTATTCACTTATGGAACTCAATTACTAAACACAATGTAACTTCCGTCAGCCATACCATGATTGCAAGAAATTTATACTGACTGCAAGTATCGGAAAATGATGTCTGTAACTCTAATGCATCTCTTGGCATTACAAATTGTGATCATGAAATTGTCATAATCAACATGCACGTGTATTTAGCTTTTTATCACTTCCCCAACGTGATGCCATACATTTCATGGTTGAGTAATTTTGACCAGCGATTTTAGTGCACAGTAACCAAATTACACATCTGACCAATTTTCATAATTTTCGGCCACATAGTTAAATATTTTTCGCTATTACGCTGTTATGTGTTTCTTTTTCCTTTCAGTATACATAACTTTTCATCATTTCATAAATGGTGTTACACTCAAATTACAACTCTAAATACCTGAAAATCTGAAGTTACTTTTCCACCACAAACATCCACTAAATCTGTCATGTGATACCATGCATCGAATTTCCACATACATGACTTCATGTTTAGGTGTCGATACAAATTCAAAGTTTTATTTTCTCGAAAAGCTGGATCAAACTGGTGAGGAAACTTGTACAATGATGGTCCTGCTTCTGAACTGCCCAGAAAGGCAGAATTAGCAATCCCAGCGAGCTCACGGGGACTTATAAAGTTAGAACACAGATGCTGCTGTCTGTAAACTGGCTCAGCCAGCAGATAGCGGAGATTGTGGATAGGGTAGGTGGAGATAAGTGGAAGATGACCATCCTGATGTGGAACACTAATGGAAATATGGACAGTGTTGGGGTGCTTTCTGTCACCTGGTCCCACATATTTTAGGTTGGCAAGAAATGATTGTGCACTGTAACTATTTGGTGTTCCCCTGAAAACAGGGGAATTACAAATCCCGTTGTTATGGTAAATGCTGACTTCATGACTCTTCGAGGGAATACCGGGATTACCATTAGAATGTAGAGGTTGAATGGTACAACGAACACGAAAAGATGGACGGAAGTAAATACTGTCAAGAACCTTAGAGTCAACACTTGTAAAGGGAGTGTTGTCTGTCACCATGACAAAGGGAGGTCTGGTGCCGTGGTAAGTGGTCGGCATGGCAACCTCCCAACGATAGGAGATAGCTGATTGGTTGATTCCTGACTGTTGACACAAAGAATGAGTAATACTGTAGGAGGGATACTGTGCATCACAAGGCTGGAAACAAATAAACGATAAAGGGTTACCATTCTATAACAAGTATGGCATATTCAAAATTGATCTAGAATAAAATGGAGGACAAAAGAAAATTAAAGAAAATGATAAAGTAACTGTTAAGATCCTGCTTTTACTTACAGACACACAGACAAGGGGGTAACCAGGGGAGGGGTCCTCTTTATAGTCCTTTGGTATATTATCTAAGTGAAGCAGAGATACCACCTGTGTCAGAAAGAAAACATTATAACATACATGTACATGTAAATATTTACTGTTTTGACTCTTTGATCTGTCTATCCTATAAAGCAACATAATTTCTGGTATTTCTTTGGTCATGCAGACATTGCCACAGGAAATCTGTTGAAAGCTTTACAAAACATTGCTGCAATTTCGAATCTTTTTCACTTTAATTCATGCTCCTCTAAGCACTGTCTTCTCTCAAGGCTATATTTACTTACCATTTAAAACTGTAGTGCATAAAGGGACATAAAAAAATACATTAAATTCTATCATTTACAGAGTCATATCATGAACTTTTATACAAAGTAACACTGCGATGTCTAATTGTTACTGTTACATACTGTAAAGAATTTTAATCTAACAATTAAAAAACCTTTTTAAAAAAAATCTATCTACAAAAGCTATTTTTCTTTTCAGAGATGGAGATAAAAAATTATGCTGTACAATACATACCATGGGTGGAGCAGGAAAGATAAGACTGCCTGAAACTTCATCGTCCAGTATGGTGACTGTGGTCAGAGCCGTATCTCCCAGACCCGCTCCTGTGGGATCCTCTGGACCAAGTATGACCCGAAATGACTCATGCCACTCAATATTGATGTTATGGAGGATCTCCACTGGAAAATCTATGTACCTCTCCCCTGCAAAAGCCCATAAATCTATATTACTGACTATCAACATTTGCTTCTGTATTGGGTACAACTATTTACTGGATTTAGATCCCAATCCTTGTCTTAAGATTCTTTCAGTTTCACTGACTCATGAAAAAACAGTTAACTTTTACTTGTATTAACCACTATACAGTAAAACTCGTTTAGTACGAACACGGATATAGCGAATTCACGGATACAGCGAAGTTTTTCTGGGTCCCCAGCAAAATTCTTCACAAATCTTTGTAAAATTTTACGGTTATAACGAACTCTGATATGACAAATTTACGGATATAGCGAACTGATTTCGAGTCCTGTTGAGGTTAAATATAATGAAATTGACATCTTTTATAATGAACTTTCAAAGATTATAAAAAGATGATAAATTGAACTTACTTTATTTCCTTTTAGCATTTGTATACAAAACTCAATTCATAAGAAAACCTTAGTCATCGAAGATATGTTTTGTTATATTTGCTTCACTAACATAGTTGGTAGAAATACTTGAAATAAAACATGCATAGTGCGAATTCGTTATAATGGTTATATGAATTCGTTATACGGATATAACAAATTACGGATATAGCGAATTAAATTCACAGGTCCCCAGGACTTTGCTATAACCGAGTTTTACTGTAGTAAGAATAAGCCAAGGTTTGGACTTCCAAATAACTTTGACATGTCCAAGGTATCTAAGACATCAATGTATGAGATACTGAAGTTTAACTACATGTATGTAAATAAATTTTTTTGGGAAAGTCATTACTGTAGATGAGTGAGCAGTGATGGTGAAATCAACAGGTACTAACCTGGTGAGAAAGTTATGATCTGACTTTTAGGATTGTAGTCTTTGCCTGACACAGCAGAGCCATCTCTTGTACTACAGCGGACTCTGGAGGTACCGCTAACATCCCCATTCCTGATTATTCTCAGACTCACTGTACCAGAATGTTCACCAAGGCTTGGCTCGTGAATTGTGTATTCTTCTTGTTCAAACTGAATTGTTGGAGCTGCAACATGATTTATGACATAGGCTTACATATATACTAGAGAGATTACAGGTAATTATTTATAACAGATTTTTCTACAAGGCAGTGCAACTGATGTTGAATAGATACGTACCATCTTCTGGGTTGATGATAGTTATTTTGACCTTGACCTGGTCTCCTACTGCTGCTGTGGTGTCCTTGGTGCCTTTAGGTTGAGTTAACCAGACAAAAAAGAATTCCACTGGTTCATTGTCACTATCATCAACAATCCTAACCGAACAGTTTTTCACCTTACAAAGACAAAATATGATTGATGTTTATGCTTCCCCTAAAAATATGAGCCAATTCTGAATTTTCATATTCACCTCATGGATTAGAACCACAGGATTTTTATTTTATCTCACCTGCTCTCCAGGTAGAAATGTTATTCTGGAGGCCTCAGTGAGTGGTCTTTCACTGTAGTCCATCATGACTACTGCCGTGCTTTGTCGTGTGTAGCAGATGACGGAGGAATTCTGACTGGTATCTCCCAGTCTTCTAATAGGGATGTGTACTACATGGTCACTCTCTTTTATTATCATCTCAGTGTAGGTAAACTCCATAGTTGGAACTGAAAAATCAATCATTAATTATTACTCTAAAACACTTTAGCACAATGTATTTTCTTAAACTTAAGTAACAAAACATATCTTTTAACAGCCATCTGTATTTTACATACAAGTTTTGCTCTGTTACAAATTTTTTTGCAAGTAACTTTATCCATACAAACGGAAAAAAAAAATTATATTGACACTCACTCTGAGGACAACAAATGGGAAATATAGTCATAGATATTAAAAGTTGACTTCAATAAAAAGGCGATTTAACACACAGTTAAAAATGAAATGACCAGACACTTACTGTCTAAATGGCTGTCATAAATAGTAACAACAGCTGTGTGGGGGATTCCCAGGGAACTCCCTACTGGAGTACTCAGCCAGACAACGAACGTTTCATTACCCTCTAACCGCGGCTCCACACTGTCATCCAACAGAGTCAGGCGACATTTCTGTTGCAGAGATATAAATACCAGTTTATAATAAAGTTGGCATGTTTTTAAAATATATATAGTTGTCATTCACTTGGATTCAAATTCTTAGAAAAAAGTACTCTCTGCAATGTTTAAGACTTTATACAATTAATGTAAGTCTAATGATTTATGGTAAAGTTTAACTTTTTGATACATCTATGTGGTTCAAAAACACACATTATGTAAAACCAATAGAGCTCTTGACAGTATTTCAGCTCACCTGAGAGGACTGGCCTGGTTGGAAGGTGACCTGGGAGGAGCTGGGTATGTAATCCTCCCCAGGGGTGGCTGAGGGTGGTTCTGAGAGTCGGGTGGCGCACCACACTACAGAAGTGTGGGACAGGTCAGACCCTGACCGGAGGAGCTCCACCTCCACATCACCAGCATCCTCATCAAAATGGTAGTATGGCAGGGACCAGTGTATACTGGACTCTAATGTTATAGACAAATAAGTACATCACACAAGGTAATACGACAGGGACCAGTGTATGCTGGACTCTAATGTTATAGACAAATAAGTACATCACACAAGGTAATACGACAGGAACAAGTGTATGCTGGACTCTAAGGTAATGGACAAATAAGTATATCACACAAGGTAATACAGCAGGGACCAGTGTAAGCTGGACTCTAATGTTACAGACAAATAAGTAAATCACACTGATATCACAGTTTTAAGTTTTTTTTTTTTTTGCTTTTTAATTCGTGACTCAAGTTTGCTTACCATCATTAGGTCCATCAATAATAACTGTAGCTGAAGACAGAAGCCCTATCCTAGCATTGAATGAGGGATCAGCAAGTCTCAGTTCCATCTCCTCTGAGCTTTCAAAGATACTATCATCTATCACCTATTTAACAAATAAAATATATGTGTAATTATAGTGGAAAGGGGACTGGATGGATTTTAACATTGTAACATGTCATGCACTAAAACTCAGTGATCAAATTTCACTGTAAAAGGCTAATTTTAATTTTACCCTGACGCTGCATGAAGCAGTGATGACTCCGGCAGGGAAGATAACTCTGTTCCTGTTGGAGTGAGTCCTGGTGATGTAATCTGAGCCAGACTCCAGTCTGTCTGGTCCACTACCTCGCGAGGTCAGGGGGACAGTGTAACATACGACGGAGACACTGTCACTCACGTCACCTACAGAGGAAACCATATTAATAACAAAACAAGAGAGACTTTCTACACTTTCCCCATACTTTCAGTGGAAAAACTTTAATGAACACTACAGCTGCTTATTTAGAAATCTTAGTTTCAAGCAAAAGACATATTGATAATAATTCAGATTTAAAATTTTTCAAATTCTGTCAGTTTATCCTTTATCCCTAAATTAACAAATTTTCAAATCTTCATTATTTTTTTTATCTAACATGCCCTATTTATGTGTCCCTTCACTAAGCATGAACTTTAACTGAAATGGACACAGTAATTGTACAAACACCACTACTCACCTGCTCTAGTGATGGTCGCCTGTAAATAACCATCATTCTCACTGATGTGGTACACAGACTGATTGAACTGGAGCATCGGTTCTAAACAAAATTCAAACAAATATTACATGATACTTTCATATAATACAGAAAATAAGTTTTTTTCCTGTCTTACAAAATACAGTATTTATTATCATTAAACAAGTAAATTCAGTTTGCAACAACACTAGTAAATGGAAAATGTTCTCAGACGTTCAAAATCAATGACCAAGCTGCTTACAAATGATTTCAGAAATCCTAATTACATACCATCTTCAGGGTCCATTATAGACAATGTAGCTCTGTTTTTCCTGCCTAAGAGAGTGTAGATAGGTTGATAGACCTCCACATAAAACTTCTCTGTTCCTTCATACAGCGAGTCATCATTGATGATTACATTACACATCTTAGAATCCTGCATCTCTTCAAACTGGATCTGTCAAAACAGTGAACTTAGCAAAATTCTTTTCCAATTTTTCATAAATGTTTGAATTTTAATGGAAATAAAACAGATTTAAAGTCATTTTCTATTACAGACATGATATTTATGAAGTTTACCTGTCCTGTTTTCTCTACAAAATCCTGAGTCCCAGGCCTTGATGATACAATCTGTGATGTGGCTGTTAGAGGAATTGTTCTACACGATACCACACAGTACTGAAAAATACATCCATTTATTTGTAAAATACTCTTTTTATTACCATGAGTCCATGTAATTCTATCTTTCTTTTTTCAACAAATGTGTCCAGTTTTTACTGAATTATAAAATATGAAGCACTGATACCTGCTTGAGATTGCCTTTCCTGTTGACAGGGATTTGGACAATGCCAGCTGTTTCTGTAACGTTAACGAGTGTGTGGTCAAACTCTATATATGACCAGGTGATGTAGAACTTGTTACTGGTCACTGTATTGGGCTTACTGTCCATCAGATCAAAGACAAAATAATCCTGAGCCACCGTGATGTCCCCCATCAACACATAACGGATCTTCTGGTTGTTCAAATCCACTGTAAATCAAGAAATTTATGAGACACTTCAAACTATGAAAACAATGAAAATCAACCCCTGTGATTTCACATCATTTGAGTTCATTTTAAAATCACTCATAAAAATCTATTTTAAATTCCAAGAAGTTACAAATTTTCTTTGTTTTCTTTCTTTTTCTATTTTCTTTGCTTAGAAATCATTTGATTCTTCATTCAACAGCATTTATAAAAGTGGAAACAATAGAATTGTATACTGTAAACCAACTTTTATTCGCGTGCGAGAAATTTTCGCAAGGTTCGCGAGTTCTCCGACATCGCGAAAATTTCTCGCCGCGAACCGGTCCTAAAAGTCTATATGCCTCTAAACAGATCCAAAATAGGCTTGGTCACGAAAATTAATCGTTGCAATCTAGTTTATCCCCGGTAAATTGCGAAATAAAGTCGCCGCGAATAAAAGTTGGTTTACAGTAAATCCGACACCTTGTGAGAAGCTTGATATTGGTTTGCTGGGAGTCTCTGTCCTTTCCAGCTGACCATAACGAGGCTGATGTGTCACATGGTACATGACTCTGTTTGAAGGCGTGTCCACATCTATTGCCAGCAACTCCTTGTTTGTTATAAAGTTGGAAATCTACAAAACATCAACGTGGAAAAAAAAATATCAAACAATGGATGCAAGACAAGGATGATAAGGAAAGCTCGGTTGAGCTTTACCCTTTGGTGAGCTAAGTAGAATAAGAAATGGTAACATACTTGTCCATTAGAATTCTCCAGGAACTGTAATCCTAAATTTGTTTGAAGGACAGGCATACCATCATCCAGAGGCAGAACTTCTATGTTAAAATCCTGCAAAAGTAAAATGTAACTTTCCTGAGGGAATATTTGCTTTTGTTCCCCTTTGGCTAATTAGAGGGAATATTTGAGCAAGTACATGTAATTTTCTCTCTGGAATTTTTGAGAGGGAATAGCTGAGCCTAGTAGATATTTATCTGATTGTTTGATGAGGTAATAATTCGGGGAAGTAAATATTTATGCCATCTTTTGGGGAGGGAATATTTAAGCTGCGGGTATTTACCTGTGGGTTTGGGGAGGGAACACTTATGTCTCCTCGTCGCCCGTCCCTCTGCATGGAGAACATTTTGGTGGTGCCGTCAGTTACAGTGAAGGAGAAGCTGTCGGCCTGAGTCTCGCTGCCATCGTGTAGGTAACTCACTCTGTTGTCGTAGATGTCAGCCATAGTGAAGGAGGAGACAGTGTGATACACGGAGCCGTCTGATGTCTGGAGGGAGCCGTGGCGGGGAGGATTCACAACAGAGAATTGCAACTGTCTCTCCTGTAACAGGAAAAGGACTCAGTATGTAATGTAAATTATCTCCATAAAAATACACAGTGTACACAGTCCTGCAGTGTCTAATCCTTGTCATAGTAAATAAATGGTTTAATTATGCCTGGATGCCAAGTAAAAGGTTGCATATGCAACTTATCAATATAGAGTAGCAATGTTACTCCTATTTGTCCGTGAAGTAACATTCAATTATCTTTAATCTACACTGGTATTTGCTTTTTTCCCTTGCTGTATGGACCTATATTTTACACTAGCTTCATTCTGTGACTTTTTACCTCAGTATCTTGATCCACTGCCTTCAGCTCAAACTCTGTGATCACTTTCCTAACCCCCTCCTGAACTGTTAGTCCATTATTTATAACCAGGGGGATCTCATCGTCCACTGGTACCACTGTGATGGTGAATTTGTGGGTTATCTGTGAAACAAGAAAAGTTCTATCTAAATGCAATACTGGTCTTTCTGAAGAAAACTTCCATTTTGAGTCCTGAGCCAAGCTTACCTGATTTGTTCCATCAGTGACAGTGTATGTGAAGGCGTCCATGTAATTCTCTGTAGGGCTGGTGTGGTAGTACACTACACTGTTAGCTGCTATGTCTGACTGGCTGAACTCCGACACAGGGATTCCTGAGGAGAAAACTGACTCATGTTTAACTAAAAATACTGACTTTCTATACATTACTATTAGGGATGTCAAATCGGTCAATTTTTAATACTCGGTTACTCGGACGTTTTTCCGATCAATATCCGGGTACTCGGAAAAAATGTAAATAAATATGAACAAGTAACATTGATAACTGTAAAACATTGTAAGCTCTTGTACAAATAAAATTGCATGCTCCGATGGGAGGTTTACCCGTAAATCTGATGTAATAATTATAAGCACTTCATGCCTGACGAGACGAAATCTAATGTAACATTTTTTTTCAAAGATCAATTTATTTATTGAATGTTCAGTGAAAACAAATCATTAAAGCAAACAAAAAATAAGGGTAGAAGACAGCCGAAGGTGAGAAAAGAGCCAGCTACCAGGTGTTTGGTCACGATAATTACTGTATAAACACTGCCATGGGCGATAACGGTCATTTAGAGGTGTAGAAAACCCTAATTACTGTATATACAAATGCAATAAACATTTTACGTTTTAAAACCGATGTTTTAATGCATTTAAATGAGCTTAGAAACATTCAAAAATATACATCCGAGTAACCGAGTACCGATTTTAGTATTCGATACTCGGACGTTCGATAGAGTACCCCTTTAACCGGGTACTCGTTGACATCCCTAATTACTATACATTTTAAACTTCTTATATTCTGCTGCACTCTAACGATTCATAACAGACCTAATTTAAAACTAGTAACTTGTTCAAGCCAACATAAAGAAAACAGACCGACAACTAAGTTTCCTACCTGGATTTCCTGTGAGTTCCAGATGACCTAGTTTGGGGGCGGAGACCAGGAAGTACTGTAGGGATGCGGGCTCCGAGTCAACGTCCGTGTACGACAGGAAGTGAGACGTCAGTCTGGCACTGGATCCCTCCTTCACAATCAGCTCTCTGTTGGCTAATGCCTGAGGAGGGTGTCTGTCCTCTTTATAAAATCAAAGGATAATATGCAGAGAACCATTCAAAAGAAAGGGAAGCATTAAAAAAAAATTTCCACAAAAAATATCTATTTATACCATACCTATGATAGTAATGAAGAAGTCTTGATCAATCAATTTGTTGCCCTCACTGTCCTCTACATCAAACTTGAATAAGACAACCCCAGTCATCTCCCCTGCTTGGTGGACAAACTGTATATAACCACTATTGATGTCTGACTGAAGGAAGGTGCGGATTTTGCCTTTGGAGGAGATCCGGGCTGAGTTCCCTCCCTTTACGTACTGTAGATGGCCGGCTGGTGGATCCTGGGTGATGGTGTACAGTAACATGGAGTCCTCAGAGTCAATGTCTGTTGACTGAAGGTCCTTAGATTTTATAAACGTCATTGATCCTACAAGATACATGTAAATAAGGACAAGTATTCAAAAACTTCATGCTTACTCATACACAAAAGAGCAGGCAAAATGTATCGTGAGTCTGCAATGTCCATTTTTGTCTGACACAAAATACATTCCAGCCAGATTATTACCTGTATTGACCCTGAGTCCTCTGTTAACTGACACTCGTGGAGTCTCATCATTGACTATCCCTATCACTATAGGGAGGGTTCCCTCTACCTTAAAATCCCCATCAGTCACAGATAGGGACAGGGAGTCACTCTTAATGTTACCTCCCATGTGTCTGTACACCATTAAGTCATCAAGGACATTCTGTAAACATGTGAAGTAACGAGTGAATTTTAGGCACTATGACAAAATGCCATGTCAAAGAAATAACAAGCAAATAACAACAATTATCAAGCTAGTACCTGATATGTAAATCTGTGTCCTTTTATGAGTTCTTTTATCATTGGATCTAGATGTCCTGCATTTGTTTTCAATCCAAATGTTCCTGAAGGAGAAATATTTCAGTCACTTAGCAAACATGAGCATCAATTACAGAATGAGGTACAGTAAAAAAATAAAAGTTTTGTCTTTTCTTAATTATCTCCCCTTTGAAGGGGGTTTGGTCTTTTATTTTCACTATTTAGAAGTTGAACATGTGAAAAGTTTACAGACAGATGGACTATAGACAATATAATCAGAAAAGTTTGCTTGAACTTTCATCTCAGGTGAGCTAAAAAGTTATCAGTACTTTTCTCTGTGATAAGCTCACCTTGTGTTGGTTCTGAGATGACTGTTATAATGAGATCTTTGGGAGGAGTGTCTAAATCTGTGACGTACAGGGAAGCATTGGTCAATATTACATAGTTATCTTCCTTGACAAACAGCTGCTCAGTGATCAAAGATGGTAGTTCATCATTAACCAACTGCAAATAAAAAGATTCCCTTAATATTAGCATACTCATATCTATTTTGTCCTTTTATTTAACTCATTAACTCAAAGATGGGATATAATAATACTGACATAGACATGTAGTTCCATCAAAGTGTTTTTTAACATGCTATAATATTAAAGAGAAAAGTGTTGCCAGACCAAACTATGTCTATGATAATAAAGTGCATTAAATATTTTCACTCACTCTTTTTTTTCAAACATGTACAGAATTTTAAAAAATGAAAATTCTTTCCCTTGACAGGATCATAAGGTCCTACTAGTATTCTTAAAGAAGACGATATGTTTGTGAAATACAGCTCACCGTGATGGAAATGTTGAGTCTGTAGACTGGTGTGGTATTGTTGCCGTCGGTTACAGTAAACAGGAAGCCGTCCCACACAGCTTCCTTGTTCCTGTGGTCACTTTGTTCATAGTAGACGTATTCCTCTACAAGGTCCTGGATAGAGAAGGAAGCCACAGTGGAGGGTCCCTTATGGACTTCAGAGGAAACTTCTGAAAAAGAGCAGGAAATATTCCTATATACAGTACACATTGTATTATTCTAGTAACATGGTATAATCATATATTATGACATGTTTTAAAATAATTTTAATACATCAGCTTTCATCTTGTTCCATCATACAAAATCTGAAATGAGTTCTTCTAAATCAGGAGACTAACATGTAATTCTTATTCAATGTATTAGCTTCTTGCACAACTGACAATAATTTCCTTGAACACATTCAGTACAGTGATTACCTGTCTTTGTGGACACTATTCGCCCAAAGCTGGGTCCTCTTCTGATGAGGACAGAGAGATGACCTACAGAACTGTCCATATCAGTGACCTTGATGTTCCTCAGAGAGAGGGGCACTATCTTCCCTTCCTCAACCTTAAAATAACAACCAGATATACTGCAACTCAAGTAAACAATATTTAAAAGTATATATTAACTAAAAAAAATTTTTATCTACTAAAGTAAAGGATAAATAATGCGTGTAAATATCATACTTTGACATCTTCCCCAACAATAACAGAAGGTGGCTGGTTATCCACTGGTTCCACTACAATAGAAAACACTTGATTGGGTAACAGATTCTGTCTGCTGTCTGTCACATTCAATATAAGGACTTCTGTGATTGGCTGAATTCCTATCTCTTTGTCTGCAGTATAGCTGTTAAAAAAATGTCAAACTTTGATAATTTAAGACAAAATTGTACATGTATTTTTTAATAGAACTAGAGATTTTTGATTTGTCATTAGAAAGAAGCAATGTTCTGCATACCTGATATAGCCATCATTGATGTCCTGTTGTGTGAAGGAGGAGCCTTTCTGTAACAGCCTGGCAGCCTTATATTTGAAGGAGCCGTGAGCAATGTAGGAATTGAGGATTATCCTCAATCTGTCATCTCTGTCCTCCTCATCCATAAAGCCCAGATTGGTCCTCTGTAGGACAACTGTCTCTCCTGAAATAATTGAGAGTGACATACATAAGACATGGGAGAGGACTATCTAAGTTTTTGGAACTTGTGTCCAATCCCTTTGACATATTGTCAATAAAATATGTTCAAAACATAAGACATTTCTTCTTGAGTTAACACACTTAGAGCAATATTAAAGATCAAAAATTGAAACATTTTAATTTACAGTTATAGGGATCAATCTTTCCTTTTAGATTTTTTCACCTCGAATTTTGTTGTAACTTTTGCCCCATAAGTTTCACTGATTTTTTAAAATCTCATTTAAATGAAAGAAATCATCATAATTATAGAGGAAAATTCTTAAACTAGTAGATAGCTTTCCTCCCTTCACCATATACATCATAGACTTACCCTCTTTGACCAGTACCCTACAGGTAGCTGTAGGTAACAGGACAGGAGCTGAGTTGTCTACCCTGATGATGGACACGTTGATACGAGTGGACACCTGGTGGATGCCATCGCTGACCTGTACCTCCAGTCTGTCCAACACAGCGGGGTCAGACTTGTCCTGAGTGTAATGGAATGAGTTCGTCTGGATCTCACCATACGAAAATGTGTCACCTGTGTATAAAAAGTAATCATTAACAAAGAGTCTGTTTTGTATAAATATGAAGCATTTTCCTAGCTCCAACATGACTGACAACACTAATATACACGTACTTTCCGTTTGTTGAAACTTCTGTTTTTGCATTTTCTCACCTTGCCTCAGAAAGACTTTACTGTTGTTTAAAATTTTCTCCATCTGCCCATGGTTTGGCATCACAGTCAGAGTAAACCTTAAATCCTCCTTGGCTGTATCAGGATCCAGAACCCCCAAGACTGGCAATCCCAGAGGAACACTCCCTCCCAGTGGCACCTGGAGGGGAGCATTCTCGTAGGTAAACGTGGGGGGCTCATTGTTCACTGGAATAACTCTAATGGTGAAGCGCTCCTCCTTTGTGGAGTTTGTTGTACCATCAGATACTGAGAAGATTTTAAAAGTTGAAATACGTGTACCTCTCTAATCCCAATTTGAAATGAACCTCATCACAGCATACCTTATAAGTGGAAATTTTAGCGAGATGCCAATTTTGCAATTGTCCTTAAAAATGTGTATTTATTTTTAGCAAAAAGTAATTTTAGCGATATTTAAAAGCTCAAATAATACACTATTACAACTAAAACACAATTAATTTTAGCGATATTCAATTTTAGCGATCTCAGCACCCTTGCTAATAATGCCAAAATTAAATCCTCGTTAAAAATTCTGCTTTAATACAGTTAATGAAAATATATTCATTCTTACTTAATTTTTTTTCATTTACCTGTGAAAATGAAAAAGAATTCCCTCTCTTGGGCCCCTAACTCTGTGCCTGGCGGTCTATAAAGGACCCTATTGTTGTTGATATCCTCTTGGGAGAATCTGGTGATGGGGGTGAAGGGGTGTGACAGATACTCCACTGACCCCTCCCCCTGGCCCAGCGGTCTGATGATGTTATAGACGATATCTTTGTCCTCTGTGTCCCTATCCTGGTAAGCTAAGTTTGTACTACTGATGGGGGTCACTTGGTTCTCCAACACCTACAGATAAAGTCCAACTTCAGCATCCTTATACTAAAATGTATTGTGCTGTGTAAATATGTTCCTATTTTTTTTTGGGGGGGGGGGTGTTTTTCAGTTCAGTTTGAATTTGTAAAACTTTGTCATTGCATTTAAACAGTGATAAAGTTTTACGATAAAATTAAGGCAAAAAAGAATATATGCAAATGATGTAAAACTACTACATTCAAACAGGAATCAGCTATCAGAACCCAATATGTTTGATCCATAGATTCCTTACTGAGATTCCTAGTTTAGTTCCTGGTGCTACTGTAGGTACAGCTGTAGTAGTCAGACTTTGCAGAAAAGTTATAGCGAGCGCAGCGAGGCGGCGCGAAGCGCCGCTCGCGTAGCGAGCTCAATAGACCTCACATTGTTTCAAGAAATTTTTATCTCACCGCGTGTAACCAGGATGTGAAACACCTGGTCTCTCAGGATGTTGGGATGTTTAGCTGTGTCTGACACCTGACATTGCAGAAAAGTTATATTTACTTATCACTGCAGTAAACATTGTAAACAAGTGTCTCATTAAGAGATAAGACTTCGTTTAATTCATTGCAAAAATGTCATATACTTAAATTGACTCGAACCTCAAATGTGAAGAAATCCGCGTCTTTGGAGGCCCCCATGTGTTTGTACCAGATCCTGCCCTCATTGATGTCTCTCTGTAAGAAGCGGAACATCTTGGCAGACATTTTCCCGTCTCCTACATCCTCCCACCCCCTCCCTGGTCCGTCCTCTGGCTGCTGTACTACCATCTTCAATTCTCCTGTTAACAATGATCATATTTCGTCAAACAGAATGTAATACAGGTAAAACTACAGCATTTACCATAAACCAAGCAATATATGTTTACTTTATGCTAATTTTCACAAGTGGTTAGCATGTCTATAATTATCTCAGAGTTATAATATTACTTAATGAACATACTGATCTCAAAATACTAAATATGGACGAATCTGAAACCTTGTATATATTCATCCTTTCAATGAAAAAGAACAAAGTACATGACTTACCTTCTTTTGGATTGTTGACTGGGGGAGATAATGTGAATATAATGTCATCTGATGGGGCATTATTGGTATCCATAACCTTAGCACTTAATAACTCTGACGTTAGCTGCAGCATTTGACCTTTTATCACATGACCCATGTTGTTCTGTACGATTAATGGTAGCACATCTTCCTGTTAATTAACAAATATGGATAAGATAGATTGAAATGAAAATACTTTACACCGTTCCACAGTTTTTTTAATGCATAATTCCTTATCCTCCACTTACCTGTTTTCTTATAGTAATATCCAGCAGGAAGTTAAGAGAGTGGTAGCCATCAAACACCTGGAACAGAACCTTGTCAGAGGTGGCTTTGGACTTATAGATTTTGTAAGCTAATTTCTCATTGGTCCAATCTTTCAAAGCAACTTCTGACACAGGTACATCATTGTCTATGTTCACAATCTGTCCATGACTGGGACCTAACAAAAAAGCACACTGACAATTTTCTATCGTGATCAACAAAAAATTTTCAGAGCTCATTTTCTAGAGAAGAGTAGGATGATTTAATGATTTACCTCTTAACACTGTGATGGAAACAGAATTTTCTAAGCTGTCTACTCGGATATCAACTTGTTGTGGTCCTATGGTAGTTGTATTGTCCAGAAATGCCAACAATGACTCATGCTTCCGTAAATATGGTGGATTTTTGGGAATGACCAGAATATGTAACATTCTTTCTTCACTGTATAGTTGACCATCAGTTACTCTTAATTTAATCTTGCCTGAAACAAAGTTAAAATATTATGTTAATTTCACCATCATTTTTTTTTCTTTCAAGGAATAATTTTCCGGGAAAATTCATGTTTTCCAAAATATTTGTTGCTGATGTTGCTGATGTACTCACCTTTCCTGTCATTCCCAGCGTTGTGTATGAAGCGAATCTTGCCAGTTTCTAGATCAGCCAATGAAAATGTACCTCCAGACTCTAATATCCCATCATTCCCTTGGACAGCTTTCACCAGTTTTCCAATGCTAGTAGTCTCAGTCACTATTAAGTGGAGGTCATCTTTTGAAGTGTCTGAGTCAGACAAGGAGAAGGTATCACCAGTAATGCTGACCACTCCACCTTGCTCCACCTGAATCTGACCAATTATCTGTAGAGTGGGTCGGTGTTGATTGACTATTGAAAATTAACATATCAACAAAATCAACATAAGCTATAAGCTAGAAAAAATTTAAAATTTGAAACCTCCCGACAACACTTTTACAAGACGATCTAGACCCCCTTCCAAAACTTTATTTGTGAGAATGAAATGAAATGTTGATGACAAGTACAGCTTGTAGACATTATTATTACCAGTACACTGCCTTGTCTCCGGATTCTGATAGAAACCTTGGCCACAAGCTGATACACAGACTCCCATCTTAAGGTATGTTACATCATCACACTGCGTACACTCATCAGGGGTAGAACAGCGAAGACAATTTGCAGGACAGTCTGAGAAAAAAATTAATAAGCAGGTTTTAAAAATGTGGTCATGAGTTACACTGGTATAACAAAACAAAAGGAACACAAATAATGCCTTGAACATATAATAAAATTTAACCATGACTTCATCAACACTACTGACAAAACTTAATAAAGTTTCAATAAAAATTTTATTAAAATTTCAGATATATTTGATCAGTAAATGATGTCAGTTATACATGCATGTAGTTACAGCCATTTTCAGATTACTCCCGACTTAGTAGAATGTTTTAGTTAATTAATTACCTTGGCAGACACTATGGAGTGAATCAATGACCTGGTCAGGGTGACAATGGAGGACACATACCCCCGCTGACAGGAGGAGGGAGGGACCACATCTTGTACACTGGGAGGGGGAGGTACACTCCACACAACCACTGCTGCACTCTGTGTAGGGAGTCAGTTATAAGGTAAGTAAATCTCATGCAGCATTATTGTACACTCATAGAATATTCATGCCATCATAAAACATTTTAATTGCAATTAATCTAAGCTTTCATTAGTTTCACAAAAATGTTTTTAAATTTCCAAGATATATCATCAGCAATTAAATTAATACTCTTTGATTAATTTTTTGTTGCCAATTTAATTCTTTTCCTTTTTTTAAAACTTACTTTGACAAATTGAGCTCTGATTAAAGTGACCAATGGGACACTGCCTGACACAGATGTTGTCAAAAGCCATCATTGGTGAGGGACACTCCACACAAACAGATCCCTGTCCACTGTCTGTGGCCCTACATCTGATGCATCCAGGCTCACACTCTACAAACAGACAAATAGATCAATCGACTGGTGACTGCCTTATTATTATTATTAATGAAACATACAAAATTATAGCTGTCATATGATTTGTCACAATCATAAGGGGTAAAAATTTCATAATGTACCCCTCTTAACCCCCTTCTCCGCAGTCATGCATTTTAACATATATACCATTTCCTATTTCTAACGCAAAATCATGCATATACCATTTCCCCGCAATCACACATTTTTCACACACTTTCAGAAGTAAATTTAATCTTCAATTTAATTCCAATTTCCTTCTATTTTATACTTGCTAAAATCTCTTAAAATAAAAAAAGATATAAACTTATTAATATATTATGTCATAATTATTTACACTAAACTTTAGAGAAATTTCTACCGCACTTTAAAGTGCTTGCAGGGAAAAGGTAAAGTTATATTTCTATGACATGAACATTAAGTGTATGTTGCGTCACAGTTCAGCAAGTTGTAACTAAGAGTTAAAACAACAACTATCATAGTCTGTTGGGACACACAATATTGTTTTAGCAGAAAAGAAAAGTGATAGAACTTATAATAAATTGTTTGGATTCTTTACTATATTCTAAAAATACTTTTAGCAAATATTTTTTTCATGATTCCAACAACAATCCAAAACCACCCTTAAGATTCTGGTATACATTACAGAAAGTCGTGTGTTACCTACAGAAAACAAGAAATGTTACAATATGTTACTACTCTCTTTCTCTTTCAAAGTAAATTGCATTGTCAACCTAGGCCAGTCTTTTCTAGGTGAATTCTGCAGTAGGTGATTTTTTAGGGTTATTTGATATTCTCCTCAGATAACCTTCAGCTATCTTGTCCTACAGAGTACACGTATCAGGTGATCTTTTTCACTACACCAAGGAGATAGTTATCTAACAGATGTTCATACAGAGTTCATTTGAAATGACTTTAAAGGATTTTAAGTGTTGAATTTGGTCATGTTCACATTAACACAGACATGCCTCTATTGACACAAGGCATAACTTTGTATTCTGTGTACAGATGACAGTAAGTTCTCACAATAAACACACAACTCTAAATGTGCCAGTTGATGTTATCTTGTTAACTTCAATCAACTTCAAAACATACATTAAAGAATAAATGTCAAATCTATGGGTTTTGGTGTGTAATTTCTTGATTTTCGTAAGGTCTGAATTTATCAAAGAACTGACTTCTAAACTTCAAAGCTGAATACAGTGTATCATATCCCCCCACTGAGGAACTGGTTAATGAATAAGTAACTTTAATTTTATCTCATTATTCGAGACCAGTATTTTATTTTCATGCACTTATCATTTACAATCCTAATTAAATAAAGAGGAAGGATTACCCTAAATCTGAAATACATGTATGTTTATTTATCATATAATCAAGGTATTGGACACTAAAAATTAAATTAAACCATGATGTGACATGAAGCCTTGACCCTGACCTACACTTTGTCTTGTCTTTTGCTAAAGGTTTGTTGAAGGACTAAAAAATTACGATCCTGCAATCCTCCATAAAAGAACCTTAATATGTTTAATAACTATATAAATAATCGTACTTTTACAGTTTCCGCTGGTGTCCCTGTATTCCCCGCTGACACAGTTTCCGGGGCAGTGACCTCCTTTCCTGGGAGGGGAACCGTCCAGGCATGTCAGACAATCCACTTCTTGGGGCCCACTACATTTCTTACAGCTCGGGTGACACGCTGTGAAATAGACAGGTTTCATCAGTAGCCAGCCATACATTCATCAAATATCTTCAAAAGCCATTATCATCTAACAACTTGGTTTAAATTCCTTTTTATAACCTTTGATAGGCATCAGATGTGAAGTCTTATTATGATTATATCAGAATAAAGAAAAATCTTTTTCACACTTAGAGGGCACCTCAGCAATTAACTTTACTAGAAAAATGATACAATGACAGAAGGTGACTTTAAATTTGTTTAATGACTCAGAAAACGATACTCATTGCATGCATACTGAGCAGGCCTTACTGTAATATATTCAGGGAGATAAAAGGCCTTCTAAAGACTTATAAAGCAATTCATCTTAAAAATGTTAGAATATGAATATTTGAAGTTCAATGAATATTTTGAGTGCCCTGTGTTGACATTAAATCATTTGAAATCAGAGCTATGGAAACTATTAAAACTACAATTTTTACACATTACATTATGACAGAGAATCACAGATCAAGACTCAAGATATTATGGAAAAAAAATATCTGTATGAAAGGTGTATATTGCAAATTTATTATCATATTCCCAGATATGCTTTAGCCTATCCATTACAACTGTATGCATTTGTGCATCTCCTCACCCCATGGGTGCAAATGAAGTACCCTCAGGGACAGCTTGTGACACACCTAACCTTGATTCTTGTGTGTCTTGCAGATTTAGACAACATGCATGTACATGTACAATGTACCTGTACACATGGCCTAGATGGAAATGAAGTCCCCCCCCCACCCTTTTTGAACTAGTGACATACTGACGCTGCATGTGACTGACAACACTCACCTGTACACACTCCAAGAGGGGAGATGAAGTACCCCCAGGGACAGCCAGTCACACATTGCCCCTTGTGTAAGACGAGGGACTGGGTACAGTTAGTACAGAATCTCCCATCACTAGAACAGCTAGAACAAGTAGGCTGGCAACCTGCAGAGAAAAATAATATCATTTTCCTGATTAGGTTAAACAAATGTAGCCTAGTTTATAATTCAGGATAAAATTTTTGAAATGTCAAAATCTCAAAAAATACAAGAATAACTATTTTTTTTCCATTATTTGGCCTTAAGGTATACCAGTACTCTCTAAATATAACTAAAATTAGTCAGTTGAACACTAACTGGTGCACTTTCCATCCTTTATGTAGTATTGGGGTCCACAGTCATTGACACATTGGCCCGCTAGTAGGACTTGACCTGATATTGTACAGGACAAACAGTTGTTTTTGTTAGGACCAAGGCATTCCTGACAAGATGAATGGCAGGCTGAAAAATATATTTTTATATATATAAACTAAAATAATTTCAACAGGACATTTCTATTTTCTGTACACTGTGGAATGTCTAGGTGCCAAGATGATTCTGTTTATCATTCAAGTGTACGCATTTTTATGTTAAACACTGCACGGAAAACTGTTGTTGATAGTACCTAACAGTAGTAAACAATCTGCTGAGAAAAAGTGATGAAATATCCCCATTTATTTAGATGGAAGTATTTAAATAAGTCTATGTTGAGAAGCTTTTTACTAGTTTATCTAAAAATATCTCAAATTTGAAAAATGACAAATGAACGTAACTAAACATATCCAACATATTGTACTGTACAATCAAAAGTGTGTGGTACAGTACACTGTAAGTGCAATTACCTACCATGTTTGCAGTTTCTTTAAAATTTTTAATTGATGAATTTCAAATTTACCAAAGTCTGCATAACTTTAAGGTTAAATTAATTTGAAAACAGGTTAAGATTTTTTGAATTTATACTATTGTAGATCACATACCCAGGCACTGCCCTCCGTTTTGGTAGAAGTTAGATCCACACCTGGGTACACACTGTCCACCCCTCCATAGTAGACCAGGCTTACATTTGACACAGTGATGTTGTGTGGCCCCTGTACAGCTGACACATGTATCATGGCACTCTGAAAGACATCAATAGCTCAGCTTCTTTACACTGCAACTGCATACATAATCATTATATAATTTGCTTAACAAAGAAGTCAAATATTATGTTTGAAGTGATCCATGAAAATGAAATTTAAATGATTTTACAAACTAAGGGATTCTGCCAAAGTTTCTAGAGTACCAATCTCAAAGTTTTTTTCTAGGTCCCCTTAGGTTTGAAATAACAAGGTTTGACTGTAAATCAATTGTAGGCCTAAATTTGCCTTCTCCCATCTAACACTTGTTATCCCATCTGTGCCCATTTATTTCAACTCATATCTTAAAGAGATTGTGTTGTCTTCTTCTGGCTCAGGATTTTATTTAAAATTGTACAAGTTCTTTGTACTGTCGTTGTAATGCAATAGAGACCTAACAACTCAGTGATTCAAATAAATAAATTCAATCTGCTTTACTGTTTATTTGTATCCTATAAAAAGTGAGCCTCACTTGATCCCATTTACAAAGGTATATGAATTGCACAGATGTTAAATAATAGAGATGACAAAAGGATTCATACTATATCCTTCAATTACTGTTTGTAATGCAACATTAGAAATTAAAAGCCAAAAAATATCTTCAATATGTCACGATTTGTCCCTAAACTTGCTTGCACTTTAACAAGTGCTTAATCATTCTTCCTCTAGTTCTTGCATTTGTCAAAAAATAAATAAATAACAATAATAAATAAAATCAGAACATGCAACCCAACCTGTTGAAGAGTATAGCCAACAAAGTTAATTTCAGCAAAATTTACTTTAATCTGTGTAAAATGATTGATGTTATCTTAGTAGGTGAATATTTAATCTTGTTTTGCTTTAATATCAGGTGTCTGAAAAATTCCAGTCTATGATAAATTCTCTTCTTTGAGAACATTTTAGAATTTCAGAAGTGTTATGTAAGAGAAATAGTGATGATAGCTGCACACTGACATTGATGGATGATCTTAAATCTAATCCATCATACAACTGTTTACTTTCTCTGCAAAAACATTCAAAAAAAGCATGAAACATTTGCTGTTTTAATTGAAAATTAAAATGACTGTAAAATGAACAAAATATAACTGCCACAGTTTATTACTACTTTTTTACTGTATGTAAAAGATCAGCTTTTAAGAAATGAAAAGTACCTCCACATTTTCTATTTTTGGTGACATAATAGTTTTCCTGACAGCTGGTCAGACATTTTCCGTCCTGTAGATAAAGTCCAGGCTGTTTACAGACCAGGCAGTAGTCTGGATTGTCCGGGCGACAAACAGAGCAGGCCTTGCCACATTGCACTGTAGAACACCAGAATGGATGTCAATCATAATCACTTTTATAAATTGTATTTCTAAATAACTTAAATGTAAATTTACATTTTTGCAAATTAAATTTTAATTTTTCAATCAAATATAATCTGAATTGCTCTTTAATAAACATTTTCTTGATGATCAACAGTTCAGAGAATTGATATGATATTAGTAACACAATATTTCCTTACATGGTTTACAGGTACCGCAGCACTCCCCGGAGTGAATGAGGGACACCTGACCCTGGGGACAGACAGGACAGGGCTTCTGGTAACAGGTGATGTGTCCCTCCCTACAGCTACAGATAGAACAGGGGTCAGGGTACCATCCTAAAGGGAGAAAAAACACATCAAAATTATAGTCAGTACACACCATCCTAAAGGGGGGGGTCAAAAAAAAATTATAGAACACATCAATCCTAAATTATAGAACAGGGGTCAGGGTACCACGTGTCACCATCCTAAAGGGGGAAAAAACACATCAAAATTATAGAACAGGGGTCAGGGTACCACGTGTCACCATCCTAAAGGGGGGAAAAACACATCAAAATTATAGAACAGGGGTCAGGGTACCACGTGTCACCATCCTAAAGGGGGAAAAAAACACATCAAAATTATAGAACAGGGGTCAGGGTACCACGTGTCACCATCCTAAAGGGGGAAAAAAACACATCAAAATTATAGAACAGGGGTCAGGGTACCACACCATCCTAAAGGGGGGGGGGGAAAAACACATCAAAATTATAGAACAGGGGTCAGTGTACCACATGTCACCATCCTAAAGGGGGGAAAAACACATCAAAATTATAGAACAGGGTCAGGGTACCACGTGTCACCATCCTAAAGGGGGGAAAAAACACATCAAAATTATAGAACAGGGGTCAGGGTACCAAGTGTCACCATCCTAAAGGGGGGAAAAAATCAAAATTTTTAAATTCTTCTGAATTGTGTTTGACGCACTGCAAACCACAGATTAAGTGTAATTAACTATGAAATATCAATTACATTTTCTGACAGTACTATATAGGTTTTATATTTTTTTCTTGTTTATAACAAACCTACAGGGTACCATTTAACAAAGTGATCAGATACCTACAAAATATTTTTGTTACATCTTACAATCATAGCAGAATAATCTTTAAAAGAGGCTTTAACTAAATAATTGACATTAAACATACTTTAAATTGACTTTTACACCAAATAACACACCTCTGTGATTAGAGGTGACATATGACTGGAATGCACAGCTCATTTACAGAGATTCCTTATCACAGTTCAATCAGTAATGACCTAACAGAGTATGTAAACCGATAACACTGATTGGCTGGAACCCCCAGGAGCTGAGTCCTGTCTTATCTGATCCAGCTCCCAGAGTGGTGGATCATAGTGTTCACATTGAGAAATATTATCTGGCCGCTGGATTAAGAGGAATCCTTTTATCTGGGAGATACATCAATGAGATAACAAGCTGTGAAGCTGTCAGACTTTCACTGTTATCACACAGATTAACCATTGTTAAGTCTCAACTTTCTAGAATTGCTTTTGACACTCTAGATTTCTGATTTTTTTACGGTTTCTTGCAGAGAACCATGTTTTGTTTTCTTTTCATCACTAGAGAATCAAGGAGATTTTTCTCTGGTAATTTTCTGAGATAAGGAAATTGGTGCAGTAGTATTTAAGGCTGATCTTTGTAATAAGTGCATTTCTTATCTAAAGTTGCAGATGAAAATTATCAATGGTATAAAAAAGGATAAGAATTTATACATTCAACTGGGTGTTGTCAGAACTGTTTCAGTTATGCTTACTGTGCAATGTAAGTGCACTCTTTGATGACTTCCGATATATAAGCTAAGCCTTTTCAATGGAAATTATCAAAGTGTAGAAAATCAAACGTCTCGTTCAATTACAGGCACAGAATAATCTTCAAACGTAATCTTAATGTTACTAGAGCAGCAGAAATTAAATATAAGTAAATCTTAAGAAAATTACTTTTCATTCTGAATGCCTAAATCTTTTGAAGAATGCAAAAAGATCTCAAGGCTTAAAAGAAATACTAGATGAATTCTAAAGAACTATATGCGGTATATTGCATATGTTTGCCCCCACTAAAGTCAAATTTTGAAAACTTCCTGAAATGTGCTGAATTCAATAAATTTATATATTATAAGTTAACAGAAAATACTATAGTTCCAGAGCAGTGTATTCACAATTTCTGTTTTTATGACGTCACAAACTAGTCTTTTATATCCTTTTCCAGAAAGAGGACAAAATGGACAAAATTTCAACAATTTAAGCTTTAAAAATTATAGAGCATGTGTGTTCAGGAACAAAATTGACATATTTCATTGATTTATCATTCTACACATTATATCAAAATATTTATCCTGAACACACATGCGCTTGGTTTTTATTCAAAATATCGACGAAATAACATTTTTCACAAAATTCATAAAAAACTGAAATTACGTCATATTTGTGACGTCATTACGTACATATGACGTCATTACTTATGAAATTATTCTGTGCTTTGAAGTCAGCATATACTCCCTTGTTTAAGGACTTAATTAAATATTACTCCATCAAAGTTTGATTTTGGGGGGCAAATGTTGGTTAATACCGCATATAGTTCTTTCACCATGTTGAAAAGACTTATTTTAGTGTCAGTAAACCATAATAATGGCAAACAGCTTTAAATTTTTTTCTGGTTAAATTTATATATTTGTTAGAAAAAATCATATTAAACTAGACTCAGTTAAGTTACTTTTTCCCTGATATTTTCTTCAATTCCTTATTAGTTATCCTAATACTTCCACTAATATTTTTATAATTTCCACATATGATAAAACCGTATTAAACAGTATTATGAGGGAATTCATGTAATTTATATCTTTTCTTATCAAAAAAAAAAGTTGAAAACTCAACATTCCAGAAATTGAGTCTTTTTTGATAAACACTTCCCTCTTCCTTGATTAAATAAAATATATTAAAATATTTATTCTCAAAAGAAAATCCTCATCAATTGAATTTCATATATATTTCATAAGGTTGATCTAAGTGATAATACTATATTACATTACATATAAGAAGAAAGATATTTCTTCCTTATAAACTATATCATATTATAGACTCACTGTGTACTTAAAAACATTTTACCATTCTTCCCATATTTATACAAAGATTGTCTGGAATCAGTCTTTTACCTCTATATAGTCTCTTTCTACTTTCATTATCTTGTACATGTAATTGTAGCAAAATCTCTAGAGCTGCTGAACACAGCAAAATAAATAAATAACCTCAATATAGTTTTTCTCTTCCTTAAATAACTGTCTTTAGTTTATAGAAGTGATTCTGAGACTATGACACCCATTTTAGACTAGAATCTACGACATGAATAGGTATGCCACTACAAGACTTCACACATCAGAGTACATGTATAAAAGAAAGGTAGTGTTGTTATGACTGATAAAACTAAAACCATATTGTACCTCAAATCACTGGAGTAAATTGCATCTTAAATTATTATTAGTAAAGCATTCCAGTTTCTAATGTATCTGAACTCTTACCAAGTAAATCTCTCCATTAGAGTAACATCTTGGTTGTTCCATACATTCTGGACAACATTTCCCATCTAGATGGACCTTGGTTTCATACTGAAATAAGAAAGGTCATACAAATGTACACTTGGTTACATTTTACAAAAGAACTTACAGATTAGATCAAAATGTTATAAATGTATTGCAAATAATTTTCCCTTTTGAACAACTTTTAGAATGATTTTTAATATTTGGAAAAGAATTAAAAAGATTCTTTGATAAAAACAATTTAGAATAGAAACACAAGTTTTGTAAGATTTTACAATCAACTGAAGTTTTTAGTCTTAGTCATAATTTCATTAAGTTGTTGCAATTTCGCAAAGAATATACCATATGGATTGAATTCAAGTTTGGAAAAAGCCAGGAAATAGAAACTTTTTGTGTATTATTTATTCTGAGATTGCTTCACTTCTAAAAATTTATTGAAAAACATTTACAACCAGATGGAAGTGTCTGTGAGTAATGCAAGAAATTTTTTGCACCTGTCAAAGTGCCAAAACATTATGACTATCTGTCAGGAATACTGATAAATCTTAAATCTCCTTGTCCCATTAAATTTTCATTCATACATTGAAACCATTGCGTGTCTCACAATAAAACTTCTTATAGAACTTTTTTCATCTTATAAAACATGAATTTGCCAATTCGTTTTTGGTACTAGGAGACAATTATGATCTTACTAGTTCACAGATGAGTGGTTCACACATGGCTTTATGACACTGGACTTGACCATTTTCACACAAACAGAATTCACAAGCAGAAATGTTCCACACATCACCATGGTAACGAACTGGTATCTCAGAATTACATGAATCTAAGTAAAAAAAATAAATGAAAGCATATTTTCTAGCTTTTCAAACACCACTCTACAAAAAGTACTACCAAATGCATTGTAACAAATACCACTCACCTCGTCCACTGACACACTCAATGCAACATTCCCCAGGTCTTCTCACTTTTCTCTCACTCTTTAAAAAGAAAAAAAAATTAAAAATTGATTTTTCAATTCAAGAATATTGTAATTTAATAATAAAACAATATGAAAATCTAGGAGTAAAATGGAAATTTATTGCCATTTTTATAATTTTTGTTACGATTATTTTTTATAATAAAAAAACTGTGCTAGCTGTTTTTCAGGAAATGTCAACATTATAGTTCCCAAAAAGTACGTAAGGGTTGCCCGCAACCCTGTGTCTCGCCTGCTGTCGCTGTGGTTAGTAAGAAATGATTGTCTGATTTGCCTAATCCCTTGGCGATTATATTGGCATTTATATATATATACAAATACCCTGTAAATTCACAAATTATTGTGATGTTTTTATTATTGCGAATACATTCCAGCTCCTGTAGGTGAAGATTACCACACATATTGTTGGTTACCTTGTCTACAAACAGTCTCCCCTATAAGTTATAGTTGACATGGTGCAAAGTCATGTGCATTCATCCCTAATTCTGCCAACTTTCTGGTTACCCATGATGTATCCACTGACAAATTATCATGCCACTATTATAAAATATGTCCACCATATTTATGCAAAGGAAATGTGGTTACCCATGATGTATCCAACATTATAGTTCACAAAAATATATCAAATTTTCCACAAATCTATAAAATCTATTATCAGGAAAATAATTTTTATTAATTATATCATTTTTATAGTTGCTCTTCAGATTTTATGATTTTTTTTTTTTTTCAAAATCATACTTGATATTTTTTATCCATACTGGCACATTAAAATTTGTCATTTTGATTAACATTTTTGTTAGACAATTAATTGTCTATTATCAGGAAAATAATTTTTATTAATTATCTCATTTTTATAGCTCTTATTTTATGATTTTTTTTTTCTGATTTTGAATTTTGATTAACATTTTTGTTAGACAATTAATTGTACAAATTTCCATATATAGATTTTTCTTTGTGATGCATGTATGGTAAAAAAAATTGACAAATTATTTTTGAAGCATATAATTATTAAAAATTTGTATTAAGATTTAACAATAATAGTCATATATTGTGGAATTATGGGGCACTGATACATTCTATCTTAAAAGAATGACTTTATTCTCATCACTATCAATTATAAACTTGACAGAAGCAGACCTACAGCTGATTAATTTAAAACAAAATCCTGTAGAACATTTCAGGTGAAATATTAAATGAGGTCACATTCCGTAATAGTTCTAGCATGTGTGATAGATACACATTCTTTCTTCATGTGCATTTTGTCATGTAAACCATCCTCATATTTATGTACATACACATCCTAACTGATGATAATTAGGGAGAAAAGATGTTTTATTAATATCCTTCATATCCAAAATAAACTACCCATTTTACCCCCGTTTCTATTGAGCTATCATAAGGAGCAGACGGGTGTCATTTAACACCAGTGATTACTGCATGATCAAGCACAGATCACTGAAAGCAAACTGCATTCTATTCTTTGTAAATTCAATGAACAATCTTCTTTTTAAAAAATCTTGTCAAAAGCAAACATGTTTCTCAAAAGTGAATACGCCCAAATATTATTGCACCAAAATAATTGATTCAAAAGATCAACCCCATTTTGGCTGTACATGTAGTTAGTGATAACATTCATAAACATCAATGTGATGTGGTGAAGTAAAATTTACATGTATGCCTGCAGTGTGAAATCAAATAACTCAGTTTCTTTCCTTTAAATAAAACAAAATAGCACAGGGTCACCCAATAAATATCTTCTATATATCAGATTTCTTATCAATAGCTTATCAAACTGAACAGTATTCCTGCTGAAAACACACAACAGACAAGCACTTTTACCCTATGCAAAAAATACGTTCTTTCTCAGTGAACAGTTTTGCCTTTATCAGTTCTTGTTGAATCAAATCAAATTTAATACACTCAAAATCACTATGCACCTAGATAATAATACAGGTATTTTAGTAAAGTTTTGAATTTGTCATTTTGTACACAGTTTAAGTTTTATCCTTGATTAAACAGAGAAAATATGAGAACTTTTACAAGCTAATTTTCAACGGTATATTCTTGATGTTTATCAAAAATTACCTGTCAATTCTATACTTGAAATCAGGGGCAGGTTACTTTTCAACAATCAAGATAAGAAATCAGTAGTCGAAGTGTATTAAACAGAGCTATCAAAGTTTTCAGCATGGAGATTTTCTTAAAACTTAAACAACACAGAAAAAACATATACTCTATGACTCTTATTGTCTGAAGACCCAGTCGTCACTCAAATCAGGTCAAAAGGTCTCACAACACCTAGCTCTGTAAAAACAAAGTGGCCTTTGACTGGAAGGTCATTAAAAAGGAAACAGGATAAAATTAACAAAGACTGTGATTTACGAACACCCTGATGTAAAATACTGCACTTCACAAAGAAATCATCACCATGAAATATCAATGTTTTTTTAATGATTGCCATTAAATGAGATAAAATATGATCTAGAGGTGCCAAAAACTTCATTTGGATTATAATTGGATACACAAGGTACCTGGTATTGCTTGATTCCATCCGAACACATCTGAGATTTGCATACAGGACAGCAAGAATGAGGATTTCTTTCAATGTGTTGGCCCTAGTCAAGAAAATTGAGCATTGAAAATTCTTCACAATAAATGATACATTTTATGCCATTAGTTATCTTCAAAGACATGACATTTTTGATAGATTCTCTTTTTTCACTATGTATATGTAATCAATTTATAATGGCTTCAGTGGTCTTTCAATACAAAATACATGTACATTAATTTAATGAATAACATATGATATATGTCCGAATCTATTCCAAATGATGTCAATCAAATTCAAATTTGTGGCCAAAAACAATATTTAAAATCAAAACCATGACATATTAAACTAGAGGCATTCATTTGTGATTAAAATTTATTCCCAAATAGAAACAAACAGATTAAATAAACAGATTATCAGCTTCATTACTTAGAAAAAAGAAAAATTATAAATATCTTTTTATTTCCAGGAATTTATACAAATAAGGAATTTAATGTCATGAACTGGTAATAGGAATGCTTTATCTCTTGTATCACCTACCGGGGGACAAACGAGAGGGGGGCACTGTATTGGGAAACATGAGGCTGTTCCGTCTTGACACACACATTTTGTACAAGGAAGGGGTGACCACTCATGTCCATCGTCATAAGTTGCACCATCCGTTGAGCAGGAACCTGAGAAGTCAAATTAATAGAGCCACATACAAATAAGTTGGCAAATAAAAATTATGCAAGTTCATTTTAAACTAATCTCTGAGCTTGTATTGCTAGCTTTAGTATAACATGAGTTAAAAATGCAAAAAAGAGAGTATGACTGTTCGTGTATATCCATAATATCACACAAGCTTTATAAATAAACTGTGTAAATATATTGTCAAACTGTCTCATACTTTTCTGAGCAATTTCACACAGTTTACACATAAATTATCCCACTGTGTCAAAGGTAGCTAGGTGGAAGTTTGACAATAGATTTAACAAGAAGGAAAAATTTAATTAGTTTTCACTGTGTAAAGCTATCTACAGATTCAAGTTATTTCTCAGTTTTCTTCTGCTCCACATGTTTTATAAGGCAAGATTTCTGTAATATTAATATCTATGCATGATTTTAGAAAAGAAAAAAAATCAAAATGTGGTAGGCCTAAGCAAATATTTCACTAGTAATTTTGCAAGTGATGATTTTTATTTATTTCCATACACTTATTTATATACTTTAGTAATCAGCATGTCTGTATTATCACAAAAAATGTTCAACAGAATAATGAAGCCACCCCTCCCATTTTTGTCATTTATTAAATTATTGAAACTATCTTTTACTCATGACTACACTTCAATATCATCATCAGATTTAATTACTCTGCAGCATATGGCTTGAGAATGAAGAAAAGCAAGAGCACATAAGGTCAGATTCCACATGTGATTGAGCACATCTGATCAATACTTAAGCATATCTTGAAATATCTAACAAATTATTCCAAAGTTATTCCAATTTATCCCTTCTTAATGACATATTGATGAAAAACCTGTCACTAATGTTCAGTGATAACCCCTCTCTTCACAATATCACAATGTCTTACAGATAAAAGTATGAAAAGGGAGATTTCAGAATTGATTTGTAAGCCATATTGCATTATTACTTTATTCTTTAAACTGCTGGTACTAGATATGAAATAGATGACTAATAAACATTAGGTAATCAATGATTACAAAGCTCATCTCAAGGAATATGTTATCTAGCTGTAATGCAAATTTTTCCCAAAATGAATGTCCATCAAGATCTATTATAGTTACATGAACATTAAAGGCCCTTCACTGACCAAATAAAAATTCAAGTCACTCTAAATGAATCATCTATGCATGTTCAATAAAGATTTATAGTTACTTAAAGGAATGAATCTGTTCTAAATAATTTAATCTGGCCACTAAAAAACACCAGTGTAGATGCATCATACAAACTCTGAAACATAATGGTCACCCAAAGCTTTGTCTGGTAGTGTGCATCCCTAGTTAATTCAGGTAGGACTTATATAGTTACTTGCTATACCCTTGCAACGGAGTCAGAAGGAATTAAGTAACTAGCTGGTGAGTGTGTGTGTTTGTCCTGAGCGAAAGTAACGTAGTTTGCAACGAGATCAATATCAAAGCCTGGACGTAGGCACTATCCAGTAATCCATTAATTTTAAACTGGTTAAAAAAAATCAGATGCAGCACCCAAAGCAAGCAAAGTTGAGTGCATTCTAAGATTCATAACCTGTTAGATTTTGATTCAGGACGAGCTACAAGGGTTTTAATAAATGTCTTGATTATGAAAAACCACAACTCTAAATCATATATCAAAACATAATGTGTTAATAATTTCAATAACTTTCTTATATCTATGTAAAATAAAGTATTCTATAAAGAGACTCATCATTAAAGATTCAATAAAATAATATTCAATTTTGCAAGTGTTTTATGAGACATAATAAATCATCAAAATTTTGGATATATAGCAACTAATATAAACGACAAGGAGATTTTATATAAAAAAGAAGAATCTCCTCATTAATCTCACACAAGTAATATGATCACTCATTTAATGATTTTTTTTTTTTCTTTCATGCATGCTGTGTTATGATTGATTATGATAAATCTTAAAGGTTTATAAGGAATCTTTTCATTGTAAAAGACATAAAAATATGACATTTTGTACCTCCCTTTTATGTGGAAAAAATGAAGTGTAGGCACCTCTCAGGACATGTAAAGCACTTGTCTCTGAGCTCTTTATGTTACATGTTTCCTATTACTGATGACAGTAGAGCATGAGAACCATTAAAAAATTTAAGTGTTAGTTTTATTTGCTGTTTTATTATTATTTTTTTGGGGGGGGGGGGGGTTGCTGGCATTTAATGCTGATTCCAAAGCATGAATTTGTGAGTACAACCTATGATGCTTCTTTTGCCTAACCAACAAGAAAGATCTCATAATGAGCAAGTCCTAACACTTCTAAACCAACATTCCTTTTGGTCCTAACAGCAGAAGTCTGAAATAATTGGATACATTACATATCAATGTATACATGCACACTGGTACATTATATACTGAATTAGATACATAGTGTATATTTATATAAATGACTTACTTCCAGAGGCTATACACTGGGGGCAACATTGCCCGGGCAGGGTCTGGGCTACAGTCCCAGGTTTACAGTTCTGTCTGGGACAGGCTACTGCCGAACAAGTGACGTCTCCATCCCAACACGTACAGTGGGAGCAAGGATCAGGGTACCAGTCAGTGTTGTGCTGTAGTGAGGATAATTATCAGTGGGATTTTATGAAAGTAATTTTTCAGTACATTTAAGTATTTTTCATTGATTGTTTTTCTATATTATATAAGCAAGAGCTGTAAAGAGACAAACTTGTACTATTCTATTTCATATACATGTATATGAATTAGTCTTTAATGGAAAATTCATAATTTTTCAATAAGGCTTCATTTGAAAAGCTTCAAAATTGAACATTTCTTCATCCCATTTTCTTGATGATTGAAGATCAAAAGAACACAACAGTTGGGTTTATATAGCTTAACAAAAATTTCCCTTCTCCATTTTAAAGCATATTTTACACTTCTAATATTCTATATAAAACATTTTAGTAATTCCGTTGTACATTTTCACATAAGTGTTACACAGATATACACTCCATATAATGTGCTCATCTTTCAGTAATGTTTTTTTAATGCCTTATACTCTTTAAATGATCAATAAATAGCATTTAAGGTTCAATTGTATAAATGAGCCATGAATACAAAATTCAAATTTCCTCACCCATTATAATTTGATATCATTCATAATAAATAGAAGTATTTAATAAAATCAATAAATCTATTCAGAGCATTCAAATTGTTTAGGAGCAGTGCCAAAAAAGTTTCAAAGTTACTTGTGTCATTTTTCTACACTGACAAGTGATTTTGATATTTACATAACATATTGCAAATAATTCAGAAAATATTTATTACACACTTCAAATAGTATTTGTATTTAGATTTTTGTATATTATTTTCATAATGAAGTACAGTATAAGAATATCTGGAGGTCTTCAGTGAAATAAATCCCGTATCTGAGTTAATGGATACTGTATAAATAGATAAAAACCAATTCAGTGTAAAAATTAAACAACAGAAAAAAACATTTAGACACTTAAAGAGAACATATAAAAATCTTTGGCAATATCAGACAAGCTTTCAAGTGCATGAAATTCCTTAGAATGACACTTCAATCTTGAAGAGCGATCATAGACAAACATTCAATAACAAATCGTGACATTTAAAATGACCCACACAAGACCAAGTAAATTGTTGCTACATACTTTAATTTATCGTTATGTATTGCTGATTGCGGCGATTACATGCCTGGTATTTGAGAGTAAGTGCAGTTCCAGGTCCTGTATTTAGATAGTACACAATGACAACACCTGTCACGTTTTACCTTTGATGTTCGGAAAATCAGTTCAAACAAATTCACAATCATGATCCTGTGCTGTATGCACAAAATTTTTGACAAAGGTGTGGGTGGACAGGAATTTCTCTGCTATGTTTACTGTCAGATCGGAGATATACTTGATTTTTATGCACATTGGCTTACATTATGTAATCATTGATTCAATGGAGACATACTATGTCCTATATCCAAACTTTAGTTAAATAATTTATCAGTGTTGAAGAGCAGTGCCATTTTCACAAATGTAATTTGCACATATATAAAAAAGGGTCAAAGGATTTCACACATAAGATAGAAAAGGCTAACTCATTTAAAGTGAATAAATAAAAAATATTCACACAATAATACTCGAGATTTACGTAAGATTATTGATAAATCACTTCTTTCCTGACTGAATATATTAATATCCTTGGTGCTTCCTAATCTTTTTAAGAAAACTTATTCCAAAACTAATGTTCTTAAATAGATATATTACTCAACCATGATTGAACAAGAGGCCCATGGGCCTTATCGGTCACCTGAGCATCATGCAACAACTTTCAAATGATTAAATTTGGTTCCTGTTTTATGCTAGATGCTATGGCATTCACAATTTCGAAAGAGGCACCATTGCTAATCATAACTAAACACTTAGCAATTGCTTAGTTTGTTTATTTGATACCAATACTGAGTGAATATGAATAGGCAGGGTAGGGGAACAAAAACTGTATTTCGACTAATCAGTAATATTCAGCAATAATTAGTAGTGCCCCTACCACACATGAACCCCTGACCCTTAGGCCTAGATCCACACATTGCACAATTTTTGAAAAGGCATCCTTGCTTTTCAAAAATATTTAATTAATACCAAGGAGCAGATTTCAAACAATTCATTCATTTTCAGTATATAAATACAGCCCTCCCCCCTCTACGGTAGCCCTGACCCTGGGGCCTTGAAATTCACAATTCTGGAATATTAGGGCCCTTGCTCATCGTAACTATATAGGTATTTCATCTGCTTAATACGAATGAGCAGAGAAGAAAATTTTCAAAGATTTAATGTATTTTCACTAAATAATCATTAGAGCCCCTCCCTAACACCAGAACCCCTGACCCTGGGGCCATAAAATTCACAATTTTGGTAGAGGCACTCTTGCTCATCATAACTATGCACTTAGTTAGTCTATTTAATACTCAGGAGCAGAGAAGAAGATTTTCAAAGAATTCATGTATTTTCACTTTATAATTAATAGAGCCCCGTCCTAACACCAGAACCCCTGATCCTGGGGCCATAAAATTCAATATTTTGGTAGAGGCACTCTTGCTCATCATAACTATCACTTAGTTAGTCTATTTAATACCCAGGAGCAGAGAAGAAGATTTTCAAAGAATTCATGTATTTTCACTATATAATCAATAGAGCCCCACCCTAACACCAGAACCCCTGACCCTGGGGCCATAAAATTCACAATTTTGGTAAAGGCACTCTTGCTCATCATAACTATGTACTTAGTTGGTTTATTTAATACCCAGGAGCAGAGAAGAAGATTTTTTAATTAATAATGCATTTTCACTACATACTTATTTAGCCCTGCCCTAGTTCTAGAACCCCTGACCCCAGGGCTATGAATTTCATAATTTTGGTAGAGGACTTAATGCTGATTACAATCATGCAAACAGTTTGACTGCTTGATGTCCAGGAGTAAAGACGAAGATTTATAAAGATTGCATTAATTTTAGTGGTTTTGGCCCCATCCCTCAGGCTCCAGGGGGGCAGGGATCATGAAATTCACAATTTTATTCCCCTTCACCCATAAATGCTTTGTGCCAAATTTGGTTGAAATTGGTTCAGTGGTTGCAGAGAAGAAGCTGAAAATGTTCAAATGTTAACGCACAACGCACTACGATGGACGAAAACGGATAGCAATAGCTCACCTGGGTTTACTCAGGTGGCCTAAAAATATTTTAAAAATTATTAAATAACATGACATCATATTGCAAATTCACAGAAAAGAAAATGCTTATATTTGTGTTATATCTTTAGTTAGTAATACTCCCACATTTTATCTATAGAGTAAAACTCGGTTATAACGAAGTCACTGGGACCTATGAAATTACTTCGTTATATCCATAATTCGTTATATCTGTATAAGAAATTCGTTTAATTTGTATAGCTGGGGATCCAAGATAACTTCGCTATATCCGTGAATTTGCAATATCCGTGTTCATACTAACCAAGTTTAACTGTAATACAAATAATACTGGGGAAAAAAGACTCTTACTGCGAATGTTTTGGAGCCTTGACGGCAAGGGGCTAAAGTTCCTACACACTCTGGACAACACCCATCATGTGGAATCTGAAGATATTCCCCCTGAAAAAGAAAATCATCCAAATGTTAAAGTAATCTTGGATATCTTTTGTGCAATTGATGTCAATTATTAAGTTTAAGACTCTTCATTGTCTTACATTCAAAGCCCCATTCCCCATTCAAATAAGGCATATATGACTTCTCAAGAAGGTCGTTTAAATTTTCCCAACTTTTTTTTCTAAGTCCAGCTCCCCTTCCCAAATAGAGGTGTGAGAGCTAGCCCCCATTTTTTTTTCTTGCTTTTTAAATACAAAATCAAGAGAGTGAACAAATTTTGAAGGAACTCTTTTAATTAAAGTGAATAAATATTTTATTTTTTTCCTGTTAAAATGTACAAGACTTTCAAACATCTCTAAGTAGAACATGAGCTTACTTTATGACCTTTGATTTCTAAATATGACAAGTTTAATATGAAGTAAATCATTTGTAACACCCTGAATTTATGTTGACTCACAGGCCACCAACTTGGATTCAATGCCCTAATCATACCAGTAACAGATGGATTGCATCCTTTACTGAAATATCATTTACTATATAAATTGTCATCTGTCAAATCTATACTCTAATGGAATATAAATGCACACTCTTATTACATCAGATTAATATACATGTGGTAAAATTGCTACATATGGATTAACGAGCTTAATAAGTTAGCCAAAAAATATTTTCTGAAAGCTATCAAAATGATACTTTTTACAATTTTGTGTACTTAACAGTGGTTTACAAGCTTTAAGGAATTTTGCGATTGTAATCACAGAGTGTATATGCATACAGCATCATTAATCACCAGCAAGATTTTTAACTGCCAGCACAGTGACATGATTGCTTTAATTTAATGTGAACCATAAATCTTAAATATGATCTTTCCTGCCTGAGGTAAAATGGCAACATCTGACTCTAACTGTGAGGCTCCATTGCATCAGAAGAACAATAGCAGAGGTGCAACATAATTTTGAATCTGCTGGAATCATGTCATGGGCAATACATCACACACGGAAGGTAATACACACTGGTCAGGCAGCCAGGGGGATTCGTTTACACCTGTATTTAGTCCTTACCTGACACAGGTGTGAGAGTGTAAAGGATCAAAGGAATTTAAGTCTGTTCTGACACATCTTACCTATGACCTCACTGATGAACTAACATGACATTTGTCTGTGGGGAGTACAGATTTAAAGATTTTTTTTTTATAAATAAAAAGGAATGAAGGCAACCCTCGGAACACCTTTAGATATATATATTTTGTAGCCACAGGTCTGACAGAATAAAATTTTAAATTCAACTTTAGAATTTTAAACAGGAAAGTTTAGGCATATTAACATGATGGATCATTAATCAAATCCAAAAGAACTTACATTTCTTTTTAATATGAAAATTCATAAAAGAATTATGCAGACACATGTGGTATTTTCATGATACAAAATTAATACATTTAATGAGAAATACAGTTTCACAATACTGAGAAATATACATGTACATTTTCTCAAAGGAAATGAATGTATAATTTATGTGTAGCCATAAAACAACCATGAACTTGTGTAAATCATTCATATTTGAATTTATTTCCATAAACATCTGAATAATTTTAACATTTTAACACTCTCTGCTAAAATTATACTTCTTCATTGAACAACATTATATACAGTACATGTTAAATGTAGCATAAATAAAGTGGCTTACACTGGTGCCTGTATAGCTCACCTTAGCATAGAAACAGTTGGGATTCAGGCAGCGGACATTTTCACAGACAGACACAGGGTCCAGACAGGTACAGATAGTACAGAGATCTGGCAACCAGAGCGTGTGATTCTAAAAAATAAAAACATTGGTTAGCACCAACTCATTTCCAAAGATTCTATACGTCAATTACATGTACAATAGAATATCATACCAGTTCATGGAATGGTAATACATGTATATAAATAAATGTAAGCATCTTTTACAACACATTGCCTGCTTGTAGTGCTCTGACATGGCCTTTATTTACCCTCTCTAGTGTAACTCATGATATATAAGAACTCTTTGTTCAAAGTACTCTGTTCCTATTCTTTTAAAAATATTCATATGCCTGTAGATCTTACACAACTTTCCTAAAATCTATTTTCTTTTTTTTTTTCTGTTAAAAAAAAATTAGTAAATACACCAATTACAAATTAAATTTTTAGAAAAATCCAGGACTGCAGTAGTGTTTTTTTATTATTTTATGCATCTAAGTTCTAAAGATCTTAGTTTCAATCCTCTTGACAAATGGTGAATTTAGACAGGCCACTCGTTCTTTGTTCTCCACCCTGTAGTGGTACTTGACAGTGCACGATTTTGAAAATCCACAGAGCATTGTGTTAAAGGTCCTCCAGTCCACAGCTTCTGAGGTCTGTCTGTGGGGTAGCCAAATTTCCGTCATTATCGTCTGACAACAAACTGCAATATTTGTCTAGTATTCTGACACAGGCCTGAACAGAGATCCGTGGGGAGATGCAGATTGTATCCCTATTTTGTTACTGTCAGTCTGCTCCGATAAAGCCCACTCTGTGTGGGACCCTGGCTTTGTTAGGTATAGTAAAGACTGTCAATGTTGACTTTAAATCATATCTTTGCAGTCACATCACTTCTCTTTACAACAGAACAGGTATTTAAACAAGATCTTTGTCAACAGTCTCTAACAATTGTTATTATTGGATAAATGTGAAATACAAATTCAGACACAAAATTCTACAAGGCTTTAAGTGTTTTGTGTTTTCTCTAAAAACATTGCCTCTGCCTCGTGAAGGAATATAACTCCTTACCACTCAGAAGATCAGTAGCCTGCAATATCTAAATCAAATAAAACCACTCTAGGAATGTAAAAGGCAGGGAAACAAGGACCTTCAATTCATACAAGACACGGGTTAAATAGAACAATAAATTACCTAAAGGTCTATTTGCATTGTTGTTTAATTAAAGAAATGACCTGGTACAGCCATGTCAAGTGGAGCATTAGTCCACTACCCCGTCTGTCCAACATCCTGTGTCCACTACACAGACACTGACTAAACAATGACCACGATGGATTCATTATACAATGACAATCTAAATCAAAGTCAAATTTATATTTGGAATCATTTTTCAATTTCACAGAAAGCTCTTCTAATTATTATTATATTGTACTGGTCTTCAAAATTATGAATTATCTTTAATTTTATCTGCAAATCAAACAAAATTTCATACTTATGTCTAGAAAACAAAAATATCTGGTCTATTTAAAATTGAGGTACAACTAACAACTGATAAACCAGTACACAGAAATTATTTAAACAAAAAAAAAGTACAGTATCATCAGTTCAATGGTACAAAAGATATATACATGTACCTCCACATCATGATACATGTATAAAACATTTAAAGCTTTTAACATGTATTTCCTTTTAATTGATCTTTTTCTATATTAATATAGGGCTGGGACTATATAGCTTGTTCTATATCAACATGCATTACAATATTTCGGCATACTACAATATTTGTCACACTACTTTTAACTGGACATAAAATTTTTTTTAAATGAAGCATATTCCTTTACAAATAAGTATGATTTATTCAAAGAAATTGTATATATGTTGTAAAACAAATCTATTTTTATGTTACTAGTAAATATTAGGCCTAAAAAAAAAAATATGCTTGTTTCCTTTAACCCAACCGACCCATTCAAATTACCCCCGGGTGGATTATTTTTCTGACAAATGTCAAAACTTCGTTTGATCAATCAGCTGATTCCATTTATTAAAAAAAAAATTAGCTTGTAGCTTAACTTGAGACATAAAATATGTCAACCTAGTACCTTAGTTATAAAGAGTAATTATTATTGTAACAACAATTTCCCCCTACAACTTTCTGAAGTTCGTTTTCTGCTGCTAGGCAGCCATTTTGGATGCCATGTTGGGTGTCCACTGTAAATATGACACGTAGTATATTCAGTCGCAGGATGTTTGACCATTCATAAGCAAAAAAAAAAAAAAAAAAAAAAAAAATCCCGACCTACCGACCCTTAATTTTTTGGGAATGTTACAGGAAACAAACATATTTTTTTTTTAAGCCTTATTACATTTCAAATTTATATTTAGCATATCTAATCTATATATGGACCACAAATTGTAAAGTAAACAAAGAAAACATAAGTCAGAATTTTTTTGTGATACATGTATTTTGATACATGTATTTCTATAATGTATCAGTATGCATTGAGATTTGAGATTGTGTTGTTAGCAATCCCAACATTTGAATCAGAAATCCTTGGATAGTGAAAATGGCATATAGAAAAAAGATTTAACTTTGTTTGTTAAAATTATGCACTTTTTAAAAGGAAATGCAGCTAACATTCTAGTTTCAATATCATGTGATCACAGTCTGAGTCTTTTCATTCTAAATGTCTTGCGTGGTGTGAAAAGGCAGAGCTTAATCAAGTATAACAGGCAGGGAAATATTTCGACCAGATTAGGACTCGAACCCAGGACTCACTACCAGTTCCGGTGCTTTAACACTGAACTATTGGATCCATGTACAAGTACCCAATCCCTGACGCACTCTTACCCCTTTTTCTTAGGGTAATCCAAAGCTAAAGCATAGAAAACTTGAAAAAAAATTATGAATGATTTAAAGTATGACACAAAACTATAGCTTGCATCCTTAGCAAACAACACTCCGATGGCAACTTTGTATGTGACGTCACATTTTTGACACTTCAACCACAGGCACCTGAATTTTTATCACTTATTGATAAAAATTCAGATGCCTGTGCTCGAAAAATTCTACCCCCTCTATGTATACATATGTAAATATAGAGAATTTTTCGATATTTGGCTAATTTAGCAACTTATTGATAAAAATTCAGGTGCCTGTGCTTCAACGACTCAAATTTTGTTGGAAAAGTCAGCGAGTTAATCAACTTATAGCCTAAATTTCAACCCCGATGTAGAGGGAATTCCGCACCGATGAGAATAGATATTTTCATATCAGAAACAAATCAAAATAATGAGCCCTAAAATCTTACGTGTACGATTCTCTCAAGATAATCAAGGATGAAGACGACAAGTTTACAACCTTGTACAACTTCTGCAGCCCGCCACAGGAAGTTATATATGATAAGAAAAATTTAAAGTCATTTCGTCGGTCTCATATTTCCGGATTTTCGATATACACACACACACACACACACTGTCACCCAAGATACATGTATCTGATTGTAAAATAAACGGTGTTTAGCAAATGACAATATGCAGCATGAACAAGAATCAATTTTACACAGCTGTTGGCGAAAAATTCGATCGGTTCCACTGATAATAAAAAATAAAGCTGAAACAGTTCAAGAGGTCCATTCCTAGCTGCAGATCTGTAGCTCTCCGAAAAAATATATTGATAGACCGGAGAGCTACAGTGCCATCCATTGAAAAAAACTGTATATTTATTGCGCGCAAAAAAGTGCGCTCGGTTCTCGATTTATTTCTCCGTGATTTTAAACTGTAATCTCAAAATATTACTAAACGTGTGTTCCTAACATATTCTTTCGCTGTTTCCAAAACCAAACATTCCTCATAATTTGTTGTTAATAGTCCTCCTGACCCTGATATTGTAATCATCGAACATTTCGCTTATTTATACTGCAATTTTGGTTTCAAAGATAATTCGCTCCAATGCGCTTCGTTCAGATATCAACTTCAAGAGTGCTTGATTGAGGATAAAGAAATTTTTGGAAATCTTTTCTTTTTTGCAATTGAGGTAAGAATTTGGAAGAATTGATTAAGAACAGAGCGCACTTTTTTGTGCGCAATGAATATACAGTTTTTTTCAATGGGTGGCACTGTAGCTTTCCGGTCTACCAATATATTTTTTTCGGAGAGCTACATATCTGCAGCTAGTCCATTCCATACGGTATTATATTGTGGTACTTATCAAGATAATTTTCGTGCAGTAATACCTACTATTGATACACAATATACATTATAAACTTATAACTATATGGTGTCTCCAAAGCCCGATTTTAACTTTTTGTGTCTTTTATCCTCTGTTAAAGCCCATATCATGTTGTTTTCAAAGTTAAGGCTTAACATTTTAGTCAATATTTTTAAAATAAATATTTGAATCATATATTAAATCTAAAATTAAAACACATTTTATGGATTTTTTTTTAAAAGGCAGTAAAGTCTTTGACGAGTGGTAAAACTTTTTATAATGTTCGAGTGAGTTTTCTGGCTGCATATGTTAAAATATTGCTTACATGTTACGTAATGCTGACGTGAACGTATCGACAAATTGACGACAATCATATTTTTAAATGAGCTAGAAATGAATGCATGTCCGGAGGATCATTATTTAATACAAAATGTGCAGTAATTTATGAAGTTTGGTGAAATTATGATGAATAGTTTCTTAAAAATATTCATATACATGATATAATAAACTTAAATATCAAAGTTTAAAAAATGAGCAAAGTTGATAAATTCTCGTCAAATAATAAAAAAGGAAGGGTTTCATTTCGTACATGAACATACTATATATTTACATTAACTTCCACTGCACGTGAAATAATCTATCAATAAATATGCTTACATTAAAAATACATCTATAAAAAACACAACTTTGAGAAAAGTGAGGTCAAGGTCAAAGGAAAGGTCAATGTCAAGAAATGTAAAGGAAGTTGAATACTGAATAGCTCTTCCCAAAATGTAGCACATAATCTTGAATTAATATATTTCTTGATTTGTCCCTTTATATAAAATATAGCAGCATCAGCTTTAACACAAGTGTGAGAACTTGTATATATCTTGAATAGTGGAAACTGAGCTAAACACAAAGTGTGACAGAAGGACAGACTGAAGACTGGAGGGATGGAAGGAAAGAAGGACGAAAGGATGGAAGAAGGACATGAAAAACAATATATATGCACGGTCATATTACTAGTTGGGCATAAACAGTTGGAGTTAGAAAATACGGGGATTTTCTCTCGATACATTGCACTGGTCTGTAGATAATTGATAAGCATTTACATTTTGAACAAAATTTTAATTCTTTTGTCGCTTGATGGACTATACGTCCCTTTATAAAAAAGACATGGACACACCTGGGATGTGTGAATCCCAGCTTCTGTTTAATAACTTACATGAAAATTCATTACCCTTAATGACACCGACGGTCTTCATAACTTACCAACAAGCACCTGCGACTTAACTTTATAATATTCAATTTGCTGATACTGTTCTTGTACATTTCTATTTGATTTTTTTCTTAAATTGATAATAGCTTTGATGCGTATATTTTCTTAATAAAATTACACCCCATGCAGATTTCCTACAGTCCTTCAGTATTTAGGATAAATTTCAGGGCAAAAAATATATGACAATGAAACAAGCCAATAATTCGCAGTTGTATGGGCTTTTTAAAAAATATTTTTCCATAAATAATTTCCTTATCATGACAAGGAGCAGATGGCGAGTGTGATCGGTTGGCAAGGGATGCTCACTCCTCCATGGCACCTGATTCCACCTCTGATGTTTTTCTGGTCCCCGTTTGCCCTGTTCCTGATTTGTATTTTTAAAAGGACTTTTTAGTTTGAATACTGTTCGTTATCCCCATATTTCTATGGTATGCTTTTCTAGTCAGAGATTTTGCAATTTGTATGTCATGTAATTCTACCAAAAAATGAACATTATAAACTTCAACTTTGTGTCCATACCCCCTTTCCTCGTCAATTTTTTAAAGTTAGGGGGATCAAAATCCTTCTTCATAATTTTATGTAAATGATATGCTTAGTTGTTGTTAACTTTGTTGACCGTTAAACACTCATGTGTTTGAAGTCGACCAATTTACAAATGAGATATACAACTTTTAATAATACCACTTACGCAAGAAGTATTTGATCAAGATTCTTATAATTAAAGTAAGCTAAAATGTACAACGTCTACCATTGCTTAAGATAGGACTTTGTGTTATGTGATTGATTAAATTATGCAGCACGAGAAATATGAGCTATAAAAGACACACCTCATATCAATATTGATGATATGTTGTTAGCAAAATAATGCTTTGTGAAACTAAAACCTGAGAGAAAAAAGAAGAACACAAATTAATCAAACAATAAAAGGGAAAAGTCTGTATGCAACAATTGCATTTCATAAATAAAGCAACCCCCGCCCCCGCAAAGTAAAGTGCAAATAAACAATTAAAAATAAAACAAATAAAAAATAAAAGAACTAATAAAAATGGAAAAAAAGCGTCCAATAAATAGCTAATGAAATTGTTATATTTGTAGCATATGGCGCATCTATGCAAATCAAAATCACGAAAAGACTCCAGCCCCAAAAAGGTGGCTAACAAAAGGATTCTGGGATAGAATCAGTATGACAGCCTGGAGTGTGAAATACAATTGAACACAGGACCTGGTCATTCGTGAACGGCGCTCTCGCGAGAGCTCTTGATTGTTAATAAAAACAACAAATTAACCACATAATAACCTTTGACAGACAATCCTTTCAATTCCGACAAAGAGACAATTGCTAAGTTACTTTGGTGTGCGTAAAATTTAATAAAATACGAGTTTTTGGAAAGTGCATTATGTCTATGTTGTTTGACTGTAATTTAACTGGGATAAGATTTTTTTTTAATCAATCTCATAAACAATAATCGGCAATTCATGTATCAGATGTTACCCAATCTATAGACACCATCCCGTCACCCGGAAGTACCGGAAGTCTGGGAGACCAAAGGCCAGCTTCTGGCTGACACCGCTCACAGGTTTCCGCCAGAAAATGTCGCCTGATTTATGGCTAAAAAACCTCCTCAGCAGATATTGTAACCTGTCAGGCACTTAAGTTTCTATTCATGCAAAAACGTGAATGAAATAGTGTGTTTTCTCATAAAAGTCCAAAACCGTCTAAACTGCGAAAGACGGAGAATTCCATGATGCAGCATAATAAGGTTCCCTAATTACTGTTATAATATTATCTTTCGTTATTAAAATTAATATCTCGTTTCCCAACCATGTTAATGTTTCGCCCCGATTTTAGCTTATGGACATCTTTGAATTGCTAAAACTCATAGACTTGAGTCAGGTGTAGGTGGTCTAATCTTCTAATTTGATTTGGATGTTCAATGGAATATTGGATAATAGAGTACATCTAAAGGGGTTGAAGAAATTAAAGTTCATTGATTCTCATGCTCTCTGTTCCCCGGTGAATAGCTTGAAAGGAGGAGTTGAAAATGACTCGATCTGAATGCATTGTAACAGCGCGCCATTCTACTTAGATTTACAGGGTGGTACAAAGTTATAGCCGTGGTAGATGCACAAGTAATCGAATTTACATTATGTGTAAATTAAGAATACATGCATATTTGCTGGTACCCAGCATCCATTTATATTTGTATCATCTACAACTCAGGGAAAAACTACGACACCGATTATAAGATGGCTTACTTTGAGAATCTATTTAATAAGAACCATGCAATGACATGGAATTTAATCTGGTAATTAATCAGTTCATTTGAATTATTATCTACCAAAGGTTAAAAGACCCAGATGGGAGTGTATTGTTTAGATGTGCAATGTGTTGCATTATTTGATACACATCTTCATTATATGAATGTCCTAACTGCACGTCAGCTTGTCAATATTTAGTGCATGACTGCCAATCCCAACACAAGCACTGCCTTAAACAATTATTTTTCTCAAAGTTTATCGGCAACCGTGTTTATGCGTAATGATTAAAAGTTGCAAATCTGCATTGCAGATTAACAACTGCATTTTATTTCAGTCAGAACAGAATGGGAACACCTTAGTAATTTAATTGATGTGAATATATTGATCTGTACGTACCATATAGAACTTGTCCATATGTTGACAATCGGCTGAAATAATAATAAAAAAGTTATTAAGAAGTGTATACATTGTATTACAGATTTAGGTAATGATAAACATAACTGTCAAAATTTACAACCCCACTATTGACACCCTTGCGTGATAGTGAAAATGACAGCGACTTTATTCTGTAATTTACTTTTGACACCATAATTCCACATTAAATCTTATAATATACAAATCTTTCGTGTTTCCACTCTTCATATGCTCGAAACCTATCTGACATCAGGTGACATTGGGTGAAATCACACTTAAAATTAAGAAAAGTTGGAATAAATGGGACTAAGATAAGCAAAATTAATTACTAGTGGATCATTTCTCTAAATGATTGAAGTTTACTGTTTTCAACATCTGGCAGTCCAAATTTAATAATAAAATTATGCAGAAGTATTTTAAGATTTATACACATGTACACAATTTCCAGCTTTAATGGTCAACATCATAAAGGGAACTTGAGACTAACAATGACAAATAACCTACACGTGGGAATTGTCAAGTTTAATCTAGCCCTCACAGCAACATGATAAACCCTAAACCCAAGAAAATCCTAAAAAGCTGACACTGCTAAATTATTGTACACAATAAAATGACGCCTCGATGTGTGCTCGATTAACCCTATTGTTATGTTTATTGTTTTAAATATGATTGATGTTTGTATTCTTATGTTTCCAATAATGGTCCAATATACAGGTAGCCTTTTAGTTACAAGGTATGAGTCGGTTACTCTATTACAGAGAGCGGAACCACTCACCTGCAAGTTTCTGCACTAACAGACTCACGACAGTGCCGATTGATAGCAAGGAGCCCCACATATCTTCCAATTAAAATCAAAAATTTAAATTTTCAGGTAAAATGATTAAATTCACACTCCATCTTTCCACAACAAGTCAACTCACGTGTTACCGATAATACACATCTTAAAATATTTCACACGTCAAATTTTAAAATTTTTGACATCCTCTTTCATTTCACAGGAATAAGAAAAACATGTAATTTAGGATGAAAAAGTCCTTCTTTCACAAGATTATCTCGGCGGTGAGCTTCTTTCTTAAACTTAAAAAAATCACCTGCACACAGAAATAAGGTATTAAGTCAAAGCAAACAGTGCAACACTGATCCCCATGTGGCGCACTTGAGTTCTGAACTATGACAAGCGAAGAGCGTTACGGGAGACTGACCTAACACACGGCCCAATGACAACTCGAGGAACCGGGTGCACTTTAAAGTTTGAAATCTTTATTATAGGGGTGTGACGTTTTGCAGTATATTGTAAAGTTAATATTAAGCAATGAAAAAAAAATCAAATGAAAGTATCAAAATTAAGACCTTCAGACTAAAACATTCACATTTAGAAAAATAGCCAATCAGATATTCAGGAAGAAACCACGAGAAGGCGAGAGGAATGTGCATTTATTCGATTTGTACGAGGAATGAATAACATTTTCCTAATCACGAATATTTCCTTCGACGTGTGTTCAACATATTCACTAGACCCTTTTTTCAATGCAATATCAAAGAGCTCTTAAAACATGCTGAAATCTGTAAAATATTTAAAAGAGCAGGTGTATGGTTTTGTGGGCCCCTCGTTTCCCTTTCCTCTTTATAAATTTTATTTTATATTTCCACGCCAATATTCAACATTAGAATAATTAATTTCACTTTATTTATAATTTCCTATGACATCAAGTTGAATTCTGAAATGTCGTTCATTTGCACAATTAAGAAACAACATATCTTACACGAAAAAGTTTTCCTATACACATGAAAGTCCTTATACAGATCTGATGCTACCGATTTACTTTGCCATTCACTCGAAAATTTCTTTTTAAATATCAGATCTCTTCAAAAGATCATTTTGAACAAACAAAAATATTTGTCAAATAACAGATATCTTTGTGTCGTCCACCAAGAAGATAAAATTGGCATCCCCTATCAATTTTACCGAAATTGTCAATAGGAGTGATGGAGTGGTCTCTCTTTTACCGTGTGTCATCAGTTTTTTTCAACATGAACATGAGCTTGATACATAATAAACTGAGAGTGTTCATAAGGGATCATTAACCCTTCTATAGGTTATCAAATATTACCACTTGGTCTAAAAAGCAGTGGTGGAAAAGCATCGATAACTCTCAGAGGGTGGGTGGCAAGTTCAAGGATACTCTTTTCGTTCGACTAAATTTCAACGAACCGGAGGGGACTATAGGTTTCCTTTGAGCCTGTCCGCCCGTCTATCTGTCCGTACGTTAACTCATGAGACAATTATTTATCTTCAAATTGATTTAATTAAGGTGATTCGAACCTGACGAAATCAAATCTACCCCGCAACTCGAACTGCTGAAAACAGGCTGAACAATGCTGATGTTGTGATACTAATAATTATACACCTCAGTTTGTTATAAGAGTAATTTAATGGATAACAAACAATAATTTGATATACAAATAATATAATTTTCAAAAGAATTCTGATAAAATTATTGAACATTGGCTTTTCGAATCTTCTTCCGACATTAGGAATTTACGACATACTCTGACATGGCGCAGTCGTTAGAGCGTCTGCTCTAGAGTCTCCGAATAAGGAGTTGATCTTTACGGCCGCGGGTTCGGTTTAAATCCCACTGTGGGACGTGAAGACCGGTCCTTCGGTTTAGACCGTATAAACAGAGGTCTCTTGCCGCAGTATTGCTGGCACAAAAAAGACCCCCCCCTACTCATTGACCGTAAGTGCCATGCCGCGTATGGAACAACATTTGCAGTGCAGCTCTCCACTGGCATATGGTGGCGTCTCCCATTTGAGGGAAAAATTCTCGAGAGGGACGTTAAACAACATACATGTAAGTAAATACAAGCAAACGTACCAGAAAATTGAATGAATAGAACGCCTTACATTACGTGGCAATCGTTTACCAGGAAATCGAGTTTTTGAGACATCTTACATAATGACAATTTACTTTGAATGTACAACGTCACATCTTCTAATAACTAATTCAGTAATTGTCGCCCGCTTTCGCAAAAGCGAGGGGACATTAAATCTAATTCGTCTGTCAGACCGTAGTTCTATCCGTCTGCCACAAAACTTAAACCTTGGTAATATCTTTTGAATGAGAAGATATAGGGCTTCATCACCTGTATATCGAGAATATATATTTAAGTTGATTCGATACGCAAGAGCATGCTCTACGTATGAGCAATTTCTTACACGAGGTAAAGTATTGACAAACAAGTTGATGAAACAAGAATATCAGCAGTCTCGTTTGTTGTCATCATTTCGAAAGCTTTATGACCTTGTCAGCAAATTCATACACTGATTGACGTTTTTCATACTAATTGTTAGTCCATTTTTCACTAGTATACACTGAATTGACGACAGATGTTTCCGTTAATTCCAGATCATGACAAAGAGCACACAGCGGATGTGACCGGTCGACAGGGGATGCTCACTCCTCCATGGCACCTGATCCCACCTCTGATGTTTTGGAGTCCTTGTTTGCTCTGCTCCTATTTTGTATTATTTTATGGACCTTTGATCTTGAATACTGTTTGTTATCTCCACATGTTTCATGCTATGATTTCTGACCTCTTGACCTTGACCTCATTCATTTCTTTCTTAATTTAAAGATCAAATTTGATATTCCTTTAAAAAACGTTTGCTGACAAAGAGGTTTACTGATATATAACACGAAAATGGAAAAGTCTAAATTGACTAAAGTTATCCTGCAAATTAAGTGAAAACAACAATTTGATGTGTGAAAATGCATTTCAAGATGTACAACAAAAAACTTTACTACAAAAATGGGTCGTATACCTTAAAGGACACCACTGGAAAATCTTGCCTAAAAATAAACGTACTAAACCTACTTATTTTAGAAACATAAACATAGATCAGGCATCTATTTTCATGATTTTTTAAATTTTAAAACAGTCTATGTGTGTCCTTGCGAATGTTTTGTATTTCAATCTTTCGCAAAGTATTGCTATTCAAGGTCCAATGATCGCTGAATTCTAGAGATTGGATCAGAACGTAATTTTTTCAGAATGAACCTGAGGTAAAGAGCAAGAACCTCTGTTAAATTCATCGAGTTTTAAAAGGGGGATAACGACTTTTATTACAGAAAAAGATGAGACAAAAAGGACTTCCAGACCAGAGCTTTGATCAAAGGTAAGTGATATATAACTTGCTTCATGAGGTCAAACTACCACGTACACTCAATACACAGAGAGAGCAATACAGAGTACAAGATAGTTTAATGATTTATGTTCGTTTGTTGTTTAACGTCCCTGTAGAGAACTTTACACTCATTTGGAAACGCCACAATGCACTTGCCGGTGGAGAGCTACAAATTTTGACCTATACTCGGCACTTGGAGCAGCGAGGGATCTTTTTGTGCCTGGATCTATTGCAACAAGGGACCTCAGTTTATAAGGCCTCATTCGAAGGACCGTTCTCCTCGTCCTACAGTGGGATTCGAACTAGCAACGTAAGGATGAACTCCTTACTTCGCGACTCTTCAAGCAGACGCTCTACCACTGTAATGTTAAAGGTGAAGACAACGAACAGTAATTATTTTAAAAAATCCAGTGGAAAAAATGTGAATAGGGGAAACCACCGAACCTCTGCAAACACCAGAAGTATAGGCAGATTCCTAGGGGGAGTACGCATGTAAAAGCAATTTGTTAAAATAATTGGGTTCGGGGATCTCAGTCAAAAACTACCCAACGATAGGTCTTATTTACAAACAAGGTCATTACAACAGCCATAGAATTAGAAGTAAATAAACACAGGCCTTCGGATCGCTTTGTTAAAAATTTGGGGTGTATAAAAGATATTTTTTACATCTTAAATTTTTTGTTCTACCTTCAATTAAAGCACCATAAAAGCCTGTGATACAAAAAAAAAACAAACAAACAAACAAATACGGGCAATGCATAGGATGAGGTCGTCTGCTTATTATACAACTATTGTACAGTATCTGGACTTTGTAAGGCATTTTATTTCGAGTTCACTTTTATAAATCGAGACATTAGAACACACAAAAATCTGAAAGTATTTATGTATGGATGTAGCCTTGATTAGCTTCCATCGTTTCGTGTGATCATTTAAATAGACAGATGTCTTCATTAAGAGACCGCATCCTTTACTCTTGAAAACGTAAGATTCACACGCCATGCTAGGTCAAGATGGTCATTCCATTAACCAGTTACCAAGTACTCACGGCATTGCATAAGTTAAAGGTACAAAACAATATTCTCTATAAAATCTTTTTATTCATCAATAAGTTTAGTTGATTATACAGATAAATCTTTATACTTTATCTGAAACAATAAACCTTAATGGTCTCCGTCCGGCCGGAGATTCAGGGTAGCAAAGATATAATCAAGAACCGAGCTAATATCTATTGACTACCGGAAGTTAAACAAGATAACAGCTTTCCATTGCAAGGCAATGTCTATTCCAGATGGTGACCCAAACTAACCATTGACATCAATAAGAATCGCCCTATTCTGATATACAGGTACCTTTTGGTACAGTCATGCAAGCTTAATGGTGCAGGACAATAAAGATTGAGAGTTTTAACTTTCTTTGTGTACGCAGTAAAAAATTAAGACATTTTTCAATGTAAAAAAAATGTACAGAATTTGTAGAACTTCTGAAAAATTGAATGACGTCTTTAGGTTATCCGAGTCTACTGAGTATCTGTTTTCGTCTTGTGTCGTCTGTAAGGTACATTGAGCATATATAGAGTCTTTTATTATACCCTCTTTCGAGGAAGGGAGGGAGGGCATATTGCTTTGCTGCTACATGTCTGTTGGTCGGTCTGTAAGTCTGTCAGACCATTTGGTTTCCGTTCATTTTCTTCACAACCTTTGCACATACTGAAATGAAATTTGATATACAGATTTATCAGCTTAATATCTAGGTCAAGTTCTGTGTTGGGTATGACTGCACCATTTTTGACAGAGGTATGCCCTTTGGACTAAGAAAAACTCCAATTATTTGTAGTTTCCGTTCCTTTTCTTTGCAGAGGCTGCACATACTGAAATGATACTTGGTATACAGATCTATCAGATGGATATCTAGGTAAAAGTTGTGTTTTGGGTATGATCGCACCATTTTTGATAGAGTTATGCTCCTTGGACTTGAAAAAGTTGCAATTCGGGGGAGGGGGCATAAATTTT